ATCAAGAAGAGAAACCCTAGGAACTGAATATAGCAGTGCATAAAGTATGTCATGCCTTTACAGAAGTGATTTCTGACACCTCAGGGATGAGTTGGACTGCTGACTAGGGCACTATCCAAAAACCTCAGGCCCATAAAACATCACATTTAGTGACAGCCCTTCTCCTTGACCCTCATCTTCTGTACTCATGATTTCTTTTAGTTGCAAGACTGGGAAATCCTGAGAAAGAAAGAAATAGCTGTTTCCCGCTTAAAGATAAAAGTCTGTGTTTTAGGGGGGAAAAACCCCAAAACTTAAGCCACAGCTGCATTTGTAGTTGCTAAAGCACAAAGACTTTCCGCCTTTATGGTACTTCTCTCTTATTTGCATGGTTCCTGCTAACCCAAATAATTATGTGCTCATGTGGGTAGAATTGTTTGCTGCTTGATCCAAGAGAGATGGGTGGAGCAGCACCTGCTTTTAGTCATTAGAGTCTTGTTGCTTTTGCATGGCATCCAAGAAAATAGTTAATAGACAAAAAGTAATTTGGCTTTTCCTGTGAATGAAAAGGAAGACCTATCTGGTTTCAGACTGTGAAGAAGAGCAGAGAGAAACCTCAAAGGTGGGTTTTCTCTGTTTATTGAAATGAAACCGTCAGGGATCCCACAAGGAAAAATTCTTGGGTTTTCGTTCTTCCTGCCCTTTCTTCCTCCCTGCCACAGAATTCAGCAATTGGAAGAATACCAGTTTTTGTTCCTTATTGGTGCTACCACCTGTTCTTACTGCTGAACTAAATGTTCTTGGCTTTCTTTGGTGTGAACAGGATCTCCCTCTGGGAAAGGTGGGAGGAGGGTGAAAAAGGGAACAGGAGGAGGCCCGTTCCAGCCTTGTGCTCATGTGAGAGGGACACACAGGGGTTAGTGTGCTGCCTTAACAGAGGGGCTTTGTGCTACAGCTTCTTCCAGAGCTGCAGCTCCACAGATGCATGCTGGGCAGGCTCAGGCTGCTTCATCCCTGATACACTTGCTTCTTTTTGACAATAGCAGAGCAAAACTGGTAAGAGTAATTAAAATAAGGAAATAAAGACGATACAAGCAGAGGCCATTCTGAATGCATTCAGATACTCAGTGTGTATGGAGAAAACTGCCTATAATTAAGAGGTGAAGAAAGAGTATAGCATGTAGATGTTGATGCCACTAAACACAAGAGCCAGATCTGTTGTTGCATATCCACTGTGAGTGCAGGCAGAGCTCTTTCTTTCAGGTGTGTCCAACCCACGATGCGTGGGCCACGTGTGGCCCAGGATTGCTATGAATGCGGCCCCACACAAAACTGTAATTTACTTAAAACCTTTTTTTTTCTTTTGCTCATCAGTTTTCATTAGCGTTTGTGTATTTAATGTGTGGCCCAGGACAACTCTTTTTCTTCCAATGTGGCCCAGAGATGCCAAAAGTTTGGACACCCCTGTTTAGGTCTTTCTCTTTCCGTGTTGAAACCCTCATTATCTAGGTCACGGGAAATCTGCCTCTCTTGAATAGCAGGTAGTAAAGGTAGAAGTGTTTCTGACTCAAGGCCCTTCTTAAGGATAGGTCAGTGGCAGACAGTCTCCTTAGTAACCTAAAATGACTCTTAAGTATAATAATAGTAATAGCTAACACTAAGGTAACACTTATGATACTGCCAGACACTAGTCTAAGATATAGATATGCAGGTAACTTATTTAATCCTTAAATAACCCAGGAAGGTAAATACTATTATTAACATTCTTTTAAAAGAAGGAACTAAAGCCTAGAGAAGTTAAGTAACTTGTTCAGGATCATATAAATAGTAAGTAACAGGGCTGGGAGTTTGAACCCTGATAGTCTGGTTCCAGAGTTCATCCTCTCAGCGGTTACACTGTACCTTCTCTCAGTGTAACCCTGTCCTATCTCAAACAAGCTCATCTGAACCATAGAATACAGAAAGTGATCTGAGTGACTATTTTCTTAATTCTCCCTAAAATGATAACATAATTAGTACTATGCATGGGAGAGAAGTTAATTCATTAGGAACTGTTGATGCCTTAGAGTTAGGGTGTTCTTCTTGAGGAAACTCAGTTGAGAAAGACTGGAGGAGCTATAGTTTGCAAATATATTTATACAGAACTATTCTGGAACTAATTTACCATTGGTTTGTTTTGGAACCAGTTCTGGATTTTGAACAAAAAGGACCAAACATTGCCTATCCCTTGCTCTAGAGATAGAGTCTTTGTCAGCAGTAATTGTCTTACCATTAACAATTGAGAAGAGCAGCAGGTCGGGATATGATAGTGGTTACTAAGATTTGCGAAGCTAAGGTGACTTTCAGCAAAATGAGTGGTCAGACCACCATTTATTTATAGAGGTAATCACTGCTTCTTTTCCCACCTTCATTTCCCTTGTTTCCCCACGTTCTCCTAAGTTTCAGAATCTCATAGTTCACTTGGCAGATATCAGGTGGCCTTCCAGGAGTGTTTAACTATGGACCTGGACCGTCCCTTTTGGTCTAGTTTAAGAGGCCACTCATAGATATTCTTTTACTTCCAGCAAAAAATTATAGGAGGTCCTGTCCTGCCTTTACCTGATCTTATAATAGACTTGTGAAAAATTTCTAGGTTAATCTGAAATAACTTGGAATAATTATAATAGATTTCCCTTCCAGCTTATTAAATAATACTAAATATATATTGCTGATACTGCTTCCTCCACATCATATGAAATCATATGTAGGAAAAAAAACAGTGGGTTACACAGTAAACTATTCCTGAGCTTCTGTAGGGGTGGATGTTCAATGTGAATGAGGAGAAACCATGCTAGTAAGAGAGCAGAATGACGAAAATAGTTCCCACTTGAAATGAGCCGAATGAGATTTAGTCCCATTTTGCTCTAACCAGTTATGTTACCTTAAAAAATATTCACTTTTTCTAGGTAATTCTTTATCTGCCGAGAGAGAGAGAGAGGCAGAGAGAGAGAGAGAGATGGAGAGAACTTAATAATGTCTTCCCTTAATAAGATCTGCCCATATCACATGATTGATTGATTTGTTCATTCACTCATTTATTTATTTAAAACTAATTGTTGATTACCCTTGTATGCCAATACCTTTCAAGGTTCTGGGAATATAGCAGGAATTAAAGGATAAGTATTTCTGTCTTCATATTCTATAGAGTACAATCAAACAGTAAATATGTAAAATACACGTTATGACAGTTGGTAACAAGTGCTACAGGGAAAAATAAAACAGGCAAGGGTGGGAGGTTTGGGAAGAGAGGGTAGAGTTTGCAATTTTAAATATGGTTATCAGGAAATACTATATTCAGGAGATAATATTTAGAAAAAAACCTTCAGGGAATGAGTGACTGAGCTGCAGACAGGAGAAAATAAGATGAGGACCAAGAATTGACCATTCTAGGTTGGTGGGGCCTTCTATTCTTAGATCACATAGGTAGGTTTATAAAGTGGTCTCATTTCTAGTCTCATTAGCAAGTCTGAAAAATTACCCAGGGACTTTTTTTTTATATGAAGAAATTACTAATAAGAATTTTAAGCAAATGACATTCTTTGGCCTGTTGATATGTAACTCATTCTTGAGTGAGCTATCTGGGTGATTTAGTGAAGATCTGGGCCATGTGCTGCTGTCAAGGAGTACAGTTTAGTCTCTGGTTGAGATTCGATACCACTCGATGAGAAGGACTCATCAAGCCAGGTGCCACTCGTTGCCACTCTTTGCTTCCATTCTGTGGACATGACATTCACCATTATTTCAGGTGTAGTTAAAGATGGCGAATATAGATACACTTAATTACACTACATGCCCCCTGCCCCTGTTGCGCATAAAAGACACCAGAAGGCTGAAATAAGATATTTGCCATAATTATACATGTAACAACCTAGGAAAAAAACAAATGTAGCTAGAAAGACTAAAATTAACCAGATTGTATTAATTGCTGAGAGGGATATGGGGAAATGTATTTGTATTCATGCACTGTTAGAAGTATAAGTTTACATAGATTGTTTATAATAGCAAAAAGTTGGAGACTGCCAAAAGTCTGTCAGTAAAGAAATATAAAAATAGATGTGGTATTTTCACCTGATAAAATACTATACTGCAGGGAAAAGGAACAGACCAGGTATATATATATTATATCACTATGGGTAGATCTCAAAACAATGCTAAATTTCTTAAAAAGTAAAATTCAATGTGATACTTTGTATATAAACAAGAAATACACACACAGTACAGGATGGGGTAACAGTAGGTTTATAGTTGTGAGTATGCAAAACAGTTTATTCTTATAGTTATTAATTATTGTATTATTTTCCATTTGAACAACTGTAAACCTACTTTTGCCCTACCCTGTATATCTATATACATATATACATATATATGTATATATGTTGAAGTATTAAAAACAAAAGATTATGCAGCAAACTCATGATAGCGAGTGGTTGGTAGAGGGTGGGCAGTCTTAAATGGGACATTCGCTTTATCTGTAGATTGGAAGTAAAAATGATGTAATGTTTATTTCTCGGTGTTAGACATGTAGGTATTTATTATTCTTTGTACTTTTGGATAATTTTTTATTAACTAAACAATTTAAAAGAAGAGGGCTAAGTTTCATAGAATGAGCCCTCAAAGAAAAATTTATCAATCCATTTACATATAATTTATTTACTGTAGACCATCCACCTCTATCTGTATCAGAGGAAATGAAGGTGACTGAGTATTGACTCATGACAATGGTCTCTCCTAATATGTGCTTAATGTTGTCATACTCAGTTGGAAGGGCAAGGATCCTTATTCTTATTAGCACAAGATCATGCCCTGTATTCTGATTCCCCATTTTTTACTTTTTTTATTACTAACTGCAAGCATATAAACTTGTAGAAGGTTCATTTGGTTCCATAGTTATGAGCATAGAGATGCTAGCACGACAGACTGAGATGTTTAGAAGCTTAATAACAGCATTGTGCTTTTCCTCTTGTCTAACCCCTTCCCTACAGGGAATCTTTAACCAGTTTCAGTGTAGTAGTGAGAAAGTGCTTCCATCTGACACTCTCCGCAGTGCTCTGGCAAAGACTTTCCAGGATGAACAGCGCTTCCAGCTGGGAATTATGGATGATGCTGCGGAGTGCTTTGTAAGTGCTGGCCTCTGGCTCTCTTTGATATGAGGTGGGACTGTTGATGGTCTCCAGCAGGGACTAGCTACTGTATTGTGGTTATTTACTGTGCCCCTGGTCTCTACAGTTTGAACTAGAAATTTCCCTAGTTTCTGGGAGTACTAAGGTTATCCCTGCAGTATGAATAGCCTTGAAGGTTTACTCTTTTTCCTTCAGGCTTAGGGTAGTTTTGTGCTTGCCATTACATAAAACAGTGGCTGTCACCCTCAGAGGAGACAGGGCTCATTGAAATACAAATTGCTGTGCCCTGTCCCCTTGAGTTTTTGATTCAATAATTATGGCCCAAGAATATCTACCTCTGACAAGTCCCCAATGATGCTAATACTAATGGTACTAATTTGGGGACAACACTTTGAGAACTCCTGCATTACTAAAGAAAAAACAGAGAATAACTGAGTCTTAGCACATGTGTAATGTGCTATTTAGATAACTGTGTTTCTCCCGGTGACTTTTAGTGGAAAACCCTAACTCCTCTGAACTCTGGGTTCTATCCATCAACCTTCAATGAACTGTGCCTCAATTAAAAAACCGAGAGAGTGATATATACATCCCGTTACAGGGTAAAACGTAGGCCAAAATCAGAGGTACTCCTGAGAAACTGGATCACTGATTTCTGGTAGGATTGTAAAATGGTAATGATACTTTGTAAGAATTTGGCAGTTTCTTAAAAAAAGAAATCTGCAGACTACCATATGACTCAGCAGTTGCCTTCCTGGATATGTATCTCTGAGAAATGAAATTTTAGGTTCATTTCAAAATCCATACATGAATATTCATAGAAGCTTTATTCATAATAGCCTCAAAACTGGAAACAACCCAAATGCCTTTAATGAGTAAATGGTGTTACAAATTATGGTACTTTCACACTATGAAATACTACGCAGCAATACAAAGGAATGAACACTTGATTTATGTAGTCATTAGAATGGATCTAAAGGGAATTACGCTGAGTAAAAAATGCAATATCCAAAGGTTATATATTATATTATCCTATTTATATAGCATTTTTAAAATAACAAAATTATAGAGATTAGGGAAGAGATCAGTGTTTGCGAGGAGTTAGGGTTGGAATTGGATAGGTAAGACTATAAAAAGATAGCATAAGGGATCCTTGTGGTGATGGAACAGTTTTCTATCTTGATTGTGGTGGTGGTTACATGACTCAATACAGGTGATTAAAATTGTATAGAGCCACACACAAACATGAAGAGTGAAATCTGGTAAAACCTGAATAAGCTCTGGATTGTATTCATGTCCATTTCCTGGTTTGGACATGATACTACAGTTATGCAAGATGTTACCATTGGAAGAAACTAGGTGAAATATATATATTGACTTTCTAAGAATTTATATTTATTTCAAATTAAAGAGTTAAAAAAATCACTTTCTGTCTTCCAGGAGGATTGCTATTTCTCTGAGTAAACTGCCAACCAATTTGTACATTTATCTGTTAAGTATTATTGGTATACTGCTTTTGTTCTTTCCCTATTAGGAAAACCTGCTGATGAGAATTCACTTCCACATTGCTGATGAAACCAAAGAGGATATATGTACTGCCCAACACTGCATCTCCCACCAGAAATTTGCAATGACATTGTTTGAGCAGGTGAACCTTTTTCTATCTCCATCACTTCTTAGACCTTTTGTTCAAGAACACTTTATCCTGGGATGTGGGGTGTCAAATAGGTGCCAAACAGACAATGACCATGGCTGCCTGGTTTTGCCTTTTCCCCCCTGGGCTCAGTGTGTATGTACTAGCTGTGGCGCCACTTCTGATCCACTGCCTTTCATCCAGATGGTGCATTACATCTCTACCACTTCCCTTTGGTGAGTCTTACACAGTTCTCTGTACCCTTCGGTACTCCTTCAGTTGATTGTGTTTTAAGTAAAGGTATCCAAATAGTTTATATCCTTATTGCTGAATCTATGCTACATTGTAGGAACTCAGAAATGTAATTTTATAATAACCTTTGTTCTCCTCCTTTTCCATCACTCCTTTTTTCTTAGTCTCAGTTCTGGCCAGCAAAGTGGGAGGAGGTATGGGGATCCTATGAGCTTCGGCTTTTGGGACAGGCAGAGGCACTCACTTTGTTCGTGGGACTCTGAGGCTGGTTAGGACAAGTGGGCAGAGGAATAAAGTCAAATGTGTGAGTTAGGAGTTTATATGAATGATTTATTTGGTTTAACTGTAACTCTCACCATCATCCCCCATCTATTTCCCATCTTGAAGCAATCAGGCTATTTGCATGTTGGAAAGACGAGAAAAACCCTCACCAAGCATGTTTGGTGAGCTGCTACAGAACGCCAGTACCATGGGGGATCTCCGGAACTGTCCGGTGAGTTAAGTCAGTGGTGGGGTTTAGAATGGGGAGGGGAACCTTGGGATTAGTGGAATTAAGTCAGAGCAGTGGGAAATATGTCAGCCTACCCTTATATATGTATTTCAGAGCAACTGTGGAGAGAGGATTCGGATTCGCCGTGTATTGATGAATGCTCCACAGATTATCACAATTGGACTGGTATGGGACTCGGACCACTCAGACTTAGCAGAGGATGTCATCCATAGCCTGGGTACCTGCCTTAAATTGGGTGATGTGAGTGTTAATTTAACTCTGACTTAGAGTTATTGTGTCTTATTCTTGCTCAAGAGCATGAACACTGAATACAAAGGTATATCCTAAATGACAAGTATAGAGTTCTTGACAAACATACTTGCGTACAGTAGTCCCACCTTATTCATGGTTTCATTTTCTGTGGTTTCAGTTACTCACAGTCACCTGTGGTCTGAAAATATTAAATGGAAAATTCCAAAAATAAACAATTCATAAATTTTAAGTCACACTTGGTTCTGAGTAGTGTGATGAAATCTCACTCTGTTTTCACTCCTTGCTCCCTGGAGTCCCTTTGTCCAGCGTATGTTTCCACAATATATGTGCCACTTACCCATTAGTTACTTAGTAGCCTTCTCAGTTATCAGATTGACTGTTGCAGTATTGCAGTGTTTACGTTCAAGTAAAAATAACCCTTATAGTATCCTAACGTTGAATCACAATGCCTATGTCATTCATTTCACTTCATCTCATCATGTAGGCATTGTATCCTTTCATATCATCACAAGAAGAGTAAGTATAATACAATAAGATATTGAGAGAGAGAGAAGGACCACATTCACATAAATTTTATTACAGTATGTTGTCGTAATTGTTCTATTTTATTATTAGTTATTATTGTTAATCTCTTATTGTACCTAATTTATAAATTAAACTTTATCATAGATATGTATGTATAAGAAAAAATAGTATATATAGTATTTAGTACTATATGCAGTAGCAGACATCTGCTGGGGGTCTTGGAATGTATCTCCTGTGAATTAGGGGCACTACTGTATATGTGTGCACCTGTATGTGCATAAATGTAAGTACATGATCACATACCTCCTTTGGGTAGGTAGCAAAGGCTCTTTATAAGAAATGGGATGACCTTGGCCTTGAATGGACAGGTTAGGCAGAGCTTAGGTACTGGTAAAAATCAAGCAATTTATAGTTATTGTGTGCTTTACTCATTGTTAGTTTACGCCAATGTAAAATAGGGAGGTGTATTTAACCACAGGGGTAGTAAGGTCAAAGAAGTGATCAGTCCTGCCTAGAGCTGCTTTGGGAGGTAAAAGAGGTGCAAATTGGTGACTTGAGTCCTACAAAACAACATTCACAGTGAGGAACCAATGTCTGTTAAGAAAGTAATGAAGTAGCTTAGAAGAGAATTTAGTGGGTTGCTGGTTTTCTGTGAATCTATTTAGGAAAATAGAGAAACAGACTTCAGACCTGGGGGCTTAACCTTACCAGCTCCATGCCCTAATGTAGGTACAGCCAGTTTTCCTTGAGTTCAAGAGAAGAACCAGAAACTCTCTGGTTTCCTTTCTATTAGTTTTGCCCGAGGGTAATCCTACGACTAAGGAGATCCCTTAGTCATAGGAGATCCCTTGTTGTAAAGCCACTCCTGAGAATAAATTGCACTATTTGGGACCTTATTTTAGGTCTTCTTCCCAAGGAATCTCTGAAGTGAGCAGGCTATGCACAACAAAATCTCTTTTTTCTAAAATTCTGTAGCCTACATATTCTGTACTGTTCTAGTTTTATTTTTATGATCTTCTTCTCAACCAAGTAAGTTCCTCAAGGCAAGAATCATTTTCTACAATTTTTTTGGTCTCTTAGCACCTAGGACAGCGTTGGACATCTAGGAATTGAAATGCTGGTTACCAGCACGGGGGTATTGCTTCTCCTAAAGGCTCTCTTACCCCCAACTTAGGGTCTCATTAGGAAACTTAGATTTCTGGTGCCAGCTGATAAATAACTTTAGAAACTTAAGAGTGTTTTTGTTTTGGTTTAGTTTGGTTTTTCAACTTTCCCTGGCTCCTCTTATGATAGGCCCCAGCAAGAAAAATATTATTGAAAGTTAGGAAGAAATATCACCACCTTACCAGTTACTGGCCACTCTCTGTCTTGCTTTTCCCTACATTTTGCCTTTTTAGGTTCATTTCTGATGATTAATATGGACTAGCAAAAAACCTTATACTGAAGGGCAGAGAAGCAAGTCAGTGCCTTAAGAAATGATGGAGTCTGTGCACAAATGAAGTGAGAGGGTTGAGTATGTCACTGTTCTTTCCCCACAGCTGTTTTTCAGAGTGACCGATGACCGGGCCAAGCAGTCTGAACTGTACTTAGTAGGAATGATCTGTTACTATGGCAAACATTATTCTACATTCTTTTTCCAAACAAAGATCCGCAAATGGATGTATTTTGATGATGCTCATGTCAAGGAGGTAGGAATATTCAAGCCCTTCTTAAAGTGTTTGGTAACTGCAACAAAAAACTAAGGATAATTATTTGTCTCCTGTGTTTCATCTTCCTAAGTTTAATCTTTCTCTGCCTATCTGTTGGATTGATGGGAGTATTAACCTTGTCTTCCCCAATTGATGGCAAGTTCCTCAAGGACAGGATGAATATATCTTCCATTATTTTCTCTAAATGCCGTCACATGGCATTCAGAACAGTTCTGACTATTCAGAAGAGTTGACATTTTTTTAAATGTGTTAATTGGTTAATTTGAGCAAAAACAATCTAATACCTCAAATTAGGTTATAGAAGAAAGTTCAGAATTCTAAATGCTGGGATTATTAATGGGTAACACTGTCTCTGGGCTGCTGTACATTATTCTCTGATTGTTAATTCCCTGAACATGTTTTTGAGATAGTACAGGGAAAACAGGGCTATGATGATATTTAAATCTGGAAACTTGCTACTGTGTAAATCAGAGTCCGGATGAAGTAGTTTTAGGTGATTTACATGAGTTAGAAAGACTTGTGATTAGGTGAGCAGCTAGACATTAGCAGTTAGACTGCTTAAGCATTCTACACCAATGCATGGACCTTAAGCAGATCTTCCACAAATAGTAGTCCTTGTCAAATTCTCCAGTTGTCTTCTTCTTCAACTCTTTTTTTTTTTTTTTTTGCCGTTGTAATTTTGGGCAGCATATAAATTCTTTGAATTCTAGGTTTTTCATTTGAATAATAATACATGTCTTAGAAGGTATTAACTATGATTATATAAAAACATATAAATGTGTTTTAGTTAAAATAATGATAACCTTGTTATAAATTTACTGAACATCTTTTATAAAATAAGAACTATGATAGTTGTCTGACTCCAAGAGCACACCATCTAACAATGTGACTGGTTCAAATTTAAGAGAGGGTGAGTTTGGGGATTTGGTTAGATTATTATTTCCGTGGCTATTTAGTCACTCTTTTCCACTGCAATGGCAGCACTGAATCCAGCACAAAGCTAAGCCTGAGAGGTCCAGCTGTCTATTCTAAGCAGTTTGACATTTTATGTCCTGCCATGTGCGAACTCTGACACGGAATGTCATTTATTCTAAGGCAGTCTATGAGGGAGTTTCTGTCTGTTCTTTAGCTTCATAAAAGTGATTTTAATATTTAGGAGAAAATTATAGAAATGCAAATTTCAAGCGAGAGCTTTGATTTGATGTCTGTGAAAAGAAAAAAGATCACCAAGGCACCTGAAGTCCCCTCACATAGCATATTCACCTTTGAGAACTTATTCATATTTCACAACTGAATTGATGTTTCATGGGAATCGAAGTAGTTTTATTCATCATTCCTATCTTTTACAGGGTTATAAACTTTCTAAAAAGATTTAACAAAATTTATTAAGTGTAGGAATAAGATCTCTTTTGTTGTCTCTACTCAATTCTTATCTTTTCATCTCTATTTTATTTGGAAAAACAGAACAGGAAGATATGTTTTGAATTGTGAATATGAAGTATAACTGTCCTGTTCTTATGATTGTTTTTGGTTCAGATTGGGCCCAAATGGAAGGATGTGGTGACCAAATGCATCAAGGGGCATTACCAGCCTTTGCTGCTGCTTTATGCCGACCCCCAGGGTACCCCCGTGTCCACCCAGGACCTGCCTCCCCAAGTTGAGTTCCAGTCATACAGCAGGATGTGCTACGATAGTGAAGATTCTGGTGAGCAGCCTAGCTCCTACCTCCTCCTTTCCCTCTCCAATGTGATTATTGGATATTTGGGACTCTCGATCATGAGCCTAGCACATAACCTAGCTTGGAGAGAGGATCCATTAGAAAAAAGAAAGAAATGCCAACTCGTGCTGAAGCCCAACTTCCTCCAGCCTTGTGTCCTTTAGCCTCCAAGTATGTGTTGCCTATGTTCAGTGTGGCCCTAATTCAAAAATTCAAAGGAAGTTATATTGATAGACTGATATATTAAATTTGTGAGGGAAACCTCAGCATTTAACTTTCTAGTTGGTAAAGATGACTGATGACTGATTCTTACTAGCTTTTAACAGTGACTTGAGTTGTTAAGACAAAGAGAAATGATATATTACTACAAAGGTAGTCACAGTGTTAGGGATGAGAGATTTTTATTTTAAAATGCCAAGAGCAATAGTGATATTTTCAGCTTGTGAATCAGTTGTTTACTTCTAATTCAGTTGTTTGGAACCTGAATTATGTTTTCCTGTAGAAACAATTTGCAGTTTGATGGCTAAAGTCTCAGGTTAGCCAAAGAGGCTCATAATATAGGGTCTGGCAGAAGGAATGCCAGCTGGAGTGTGGTTGGTAGGGTAATAATATGGGTGTAATAGTTTATAGTTTATAATAGTTTAATTTGAACATTTCACCTAAAATGTCTTATGGTATGCTTGAGTGTGATATTGTAGTGTTACAGAAGTCCATGGTAATGATTTTGTAATAAAGGGCGTTATTTGTGCTGGACCCTGTATATTAGAAATATAACCCTAATGATATTTGCCTTGATTTCTGAAAATGAGGAAAAAGAAATGTTTTTTCCACTTCTATTTTTAGGGCTGGCCCTAAGTACAGTTTTGAAAGAGAAGACACTTGTCTTTGGAATCTTTTTCTCTCCCTTTTGTATCTCTTTCCTGCTTGATAACTGGTATTCTTCCCACCTTTGTAACCTCAACCAGACCAACTTCTCCTTTCAATCAAACACCCATTGTTGCCACTTATCTTAGCCAGGTGTTTAGGGGAAAGTATTCTGATTGAACTAATTCACACTGAAGTATAAATAACAACTCCATAATTTCTCAAAGTTATTAAAAATGCTTATAACGTCAATTAATTTTTAAAGTGACATTTCTGGCAGTACAGGAGAAAAACGATGGGATAGGGGTTATGTATGCCAGGTCGGCCTGGGACTCTATCTAAGTAGATCTTATTTTTCACAACTTTTTCCTTTCTTCCACTTTCCCCCCATAGGTTTTCTAAAAGCCCCACAGTTTTTCACAGTGGCAGGCAAAGTGAGGGCTTCAGCAAGGTAGGGGCAGGAATGGGAAGAATTGTTTGTGTGTCTGGGTTATCTGGAAGTTGGGTGTTGGGAAGAATGGCTCTGGTATATCCTTTTCACTGTTCCATCTAGGAATTTCTTGCCTTATGGACCTTTGTTGCCATCCAGCTCTTTGCCCCCTCTCTATCACTGTCTTTCTGTCTTTCCTCACTTTTGTATATGTGTCTCCTCCTTCCCTCAGGGAGGGAGCCCTCCATCTCAAGTGATACTCGAACAGATTCCTCAACGGAGAGCTATCCCTACAAACACTCCCACCATGAGTCTGTGGTCAGTCACTTCTCTTCTGATTCTCAGGGGACAGTCATCTATAATGTGGAGAATGATTCCACGTCTCAGAGCAGTCGGGACACAGGTAGGGACTCATGCAGTGGATCCTGCTTGTTCCTGCATGGAGGGTTTTCGAGAAAAAGAAACTGGGACAAGTCAGAAATGTTTGTCATGCAAAGAGAGGAAGGCACAGAACTCCAGTAATTGAGTGGGATCAAAAGAAGCAACACAATTCTGAATGAACGATGATGTTCCACTGCATATGGTCCTGTTGACAGCAGTATATCAGTAGGGACAATTGTGATATGATTATTGATGTGATCATTTATTCTGAAATCTAATCTGCTTTTCTTCTGCTATGCTTTTAATTCCTGTCCTTCTCATAGTGCTCCATTAAGCTCCTGTGGTCTTATACCTCATAATGTTCCCATGCCAGGCTTTGTCCCCAGTGAAGGGCTTTGAGAGAAGGAGCACATTATGGGAAGGGGACACCTGCTTGTCACCTTGTTAGGCTTCCTGGAGAACAGAGACACATAAGAATGAAAGCTTGCCTGTTTTTTATTGTGAGTTCCATGCAGAGAACATTCTGAAATTTTTAAAAATCTATTCAGAGTGTGCCTGTGTCAGTGGAAAAATCGATATAGGGTATAAAAGGAAGAACAGTAAATAGCTGACTGCTGAAATGAAAAGCTATCACCCAAAGGGTAGAACTTGGGAATTGGGGAGTTCATGGTTTCAAATTGGTGGTTTATACTCTGTGCATGGCCCTTTTTTAAAATAGAGAATTTCAAACATATGTAGACATATACAGAATAGCATACTGCCTCCCCACGTACCCATCGCCTGGTTTCAATAATTATAACTCATAGCCAATCTAGTTTTATCTGTACCTCTACCCACTTCCCCCACTCCTGGATTATTTTAGATTTTTCAAGTCCCAGGCATGACACCTTTTTCATAAATATTTTAGTATGTATATTTAAAATATAAGAAAACATTTTTAAACATACTATTATCATATTAAAAACATTAACAGTAGTTCCTTTAAACCACTAAATAACCAATGAGTGTTTAAACATCCAAGTTTCTTATAAATGTCTTAACTTTTTAATGGTTTGTTTGTTTGACTCAATCGAAATGAGGTCTACATATTACAATGGGTTGATAAGTCTTTTGTGTTTCTTTTAATCTATAGATTTTTCCTAGTTTTTCCTTGAAATTTATTGTTGAGGAAGTAGGTAGTTTGTCCTGTATATTCCTCCCATTCTAAATTTTGTTGATTGTGTTCCTATGATAAACTTTAGCATGTTTCTCTGTGCTCTGTATTGTAAGTTGGTAGTTGGATCTAGAGGTTTGGTCAGATTCATGTTGGATCCCTTTTGATGACTATTGCATAAATGACTATTGCAAAGTGTGATATTTTTAAAACCATATTTCTGAAACTGTGAACTAGGGAGAAGATAAGTCACAGGATAAATAAGCATATTTTCCAGGAAAGTCAAGTTTAAGTTAAGGGTTTGTGAATGCCTGGGGGTAGGGTAGCATGTCTCCATTAGTTTAACATTAGTATTTCCAGTAGCTCCAAGTTTTTTCCTCCTTTCTTAAGTCTTTCTTATGGGTCCAGAGGTAGCAAAGGATCAGATAAAAGCAATAAAAGATTGCATCGGTAAATGTAGCTGTATCACTCTATTGCTGATACCCTGAATATGGACAAGGATTTTCACATACTAATACATGAAACCAAATTTTTGTTAACTCTTAATGCATGTGAGAACCTAGGGTGTTTTCTCTAAGCTTTTCAATTTAATTCAGTTGCTTAATTCACCTCTGGCCTCCAGCATCTTAGATGACTATATTCTTTAGAACCTGACCTTTGCTGTTTTCAAATCACTCATACATTCACATATACTGGGCATGAGGCAAAATAAGTTACATAAAAAGCCCAGATTCTCTCGGTTTCCCAGCAATTAGTATTGAGGGACGACGAAGTATAATCTCTTGGTGAAGCAAAGTTTGGTGAAGCATGGTTGGGGATGGGAATGAGAATTATTCAAAGTTCAAAAGTTCTTTTAAATGATTCACACTTAAGAAAGGGTTAGAACTGGGTCTTAAAACCATACACAATCAGAGCTCTTGTGAGCAGAGACTGGGACACTGGGGATAATACCTGATATAATAAAAATTAGGCTTTACTTGGTATGTGTTGCTGAATAAATAAAAGGAAAGCTCTGCCTCCCATTTATGAGACTAAAAATATATTGGTACATGACATTTCTATACAGTATTAAAACTTTCACCTTTTAAAATGTATCGAGTCATGTGTTCTTCAGATTACTGGGAAAAATTAAGAGTGGGATTGAGACTGGTAATTGCTCAGGAAACATTGTAAATTTGGAAGCTCCCATTAACTACTTGAGCTTCTTTGCATTTGCCTATTGAGAGATTCCTGCTACACCTTAATCTGGTAGCCACTTACAGTTTTCAGTCCACGGGTACACTAAATTCGTGCCACTGCCATGAATCCCAAAGGGAGACTAGTTTCTCAAGAGGATGGAGGTCAGTCTCAGATACCAGCTTACCCCCATTTCCTTGTTCTTTTAGGACACCTGACTGATAGTGAATGTAATCAGAAACTGACATCCAAGAAAGGGTCTCTGATAGAGCGCAAGCGGAGCTCTGGCCGGGTTAGGAGGAAAGGCGATGAGCCACAGGCTTCAGGGTACCACAGTGAAGGCAAGCCACTCTGCATTACTTCTCTTTCCTAATTCACTTTATCAGACTTGTCACACTTAGACTGTGGCTTCTATTTTCTGCTCAAAGAGCTTTCCTTGCTTTCTCAGCTCTGGGATCTGGACATCCAGGAGCACTTTAAACATTTATGTTTGTTTCATTCTTTGTATTTTTAGGAGAAACACTGAAAGAGAAGCAGGCTCCTAGGAATGCCTCTAAACCATCCAGCAGCACCAACAGACTAAGGGATTTTAAAGAGACAGTCAGTAATATGATCCATAACAGACCATCTCTAGCTTCTCAGAGCAACCTAGGATCTCCCTTTGTGGGGAAAGGAGGAGACCAAGCGGACAAAAAACCTCCTAGGAACCTGCCTTTACAGTCTCGTGATTGGGAAATAGAAAGCACTAGCAGTGAGTCAAAATCCAGTTCTTCTAACAAGTATCGTCCAACATGGAGACCGAAACGGGAGTCTCTGAATATTGACAGTATCTTTAGTAAGGACAAAAGGAAGCACTGTGGCTATACCCAGCTTAGCCCATTTTCTGAGGATTCAGGTGAGAAAATAATTAGGGAAGAATTGGGCTTTAGAATAAAGTTGATTTATGTATTTTAAAAACCTGGGTTTTCTGGTAGACTTGACAAGGTTTATTTTTACCTCCATGTTGGGTCTTTTGGGGGGGATATAAGTTCAGTAAATGAGTAGCTGGAGGGTTAGTTACATCTTGATTTGAGGCAGATGCTAAATCTACCTCCCTTTTCATATTTGTCCTTTGATTGAGATAGCTAAAGAATTTGCACAAGATGAACTAAGCAAGCCACCTGCTTATGACTTTAAAACTAGTGGGCCAAGCCCTCAATACAAGCCTTGGGGCCCAGCACGGCCAGGCGCTCACGTTTTAGAGCAGCACCCGCGCCTAATCCAGCGAATGGAATCTGGCTATGAGAGCAGTGAAAGGAACAGCAGCAGTCCTGTCAGCCTGGATGCAGCCCTGCCTGAGAGCTCGAGTGTCTGCAGGTATTGTTTGGCCTTTGAATAGTGGCATTGTCCCTAGAGGCAGCCTGAGCCACCGAGAGGCTCATCAACTCAGACAGTGGAGAGGTGCACATACTTTATTGCCATCTACTGGGCGTTTTTTTGCTGTATCAAATTTCTATGGCAACAGCCCCCTCTGCTGGGAGAAAGAGCAAAGACATTTGAGAAAGGAGAAGCAACTTTTAAAGTATTATGTATAAAAATAATTGTGTACTAAATAACTTTTAATAAAAGAATGAATTAGTGAACCAAAACTTATATAGTCCTGAGAGCAGAGACAAAGCCAAATTGTTATTTATTCTTGCCTTTCATTTTAGAGTAGGTTGTTTTCTTAGTGTCACTGGGGACCCTGTGTTTTATGAGGCCAAAGATATTAATAATTCTACAAGATAACAATGATAGACCAATAGTACTCCTTGCACCCTGTCCACAGGGCCCAGTTTGCTTAATAAATTTCAGATTTTCATATATTGTTTTTACTGAGTTGCCACAGAAGCAAGTTTCCTGACAGTACAACTGCTTTGAAAGGAGTGATTGTCTCTTCTGCAAGGGTGATAACCACATCCTCATAATTTAATATTGCTCTTCCCTGGCCACTGGACCCCGTTTAGTTTTAAACATTAGAATATGTGTAAAGGTATACAAAGGTATAAGAAAGAGGAAGGCAATCCATATTTGAGCATACATTTATTAATTCATTGAATAAATTTTGTGCCAGACACTGTGCTAAATGTACAAAGTGGATTGAGGTGAGATAAGATGGGGGAATGAGTGGGTATTTCATTTTTTCAGTAGTTTAGCAGATACTTTAATTATACTAACGCAATGCTTTGTTGGCATTTTGAGGGAATTTTGTCCTAGGAATATTGCTAGTTATCACCTTCTGCTGCTTTTGCTAGATTCAGATTTCTCTTTTGAAGGGATCCAAGTGCTAAGAGATCAACTGTGTTGGCACCTTCCTGGCGTCACATCCCAAAGTCTCACAGCAGTAGCATCCTGGAGGCAGACTCCGCAGCATCCAGGAGTGGCTGGACAAAGAATCAGCCACTATCGGGTAAGTAAAAGGACAATGGATTTGGAGGATTTGATTTGTCTGCCAATTTTGTTTGGGAAACAACCTTACCTGGGAACATTTGAAATTAAAGGACACTTTGAGTATTCTGTCAGAATGTGAATGTGGAGGCATTTGAGCTGCTCCCTCTTTAGATTATCTATTTTTTGTTCATCACAGCTTGACTAATTGTTTCTTTTGACCTTGGAGAACCCCCTTCTGTGAGCAAGAGGAACAGAAATTTGATGAGCAGTGTTGGTAGTATCTGCATTCATTGGAAGGATAAGCCTAGGGCTTTCCTTGGTATAGAGGCAGCCTCTTGGGAATGCATTTATTATTGTTTAGTACCATGAATTGAGATAACAAAGGGGGACATGTAGATTGTGGAAAAAGCTGGGAAATAAGGTCAAACCTACTGTTACCGAACAAATGGACCTGTGGCGGGGGGAGGGGGTGTGGGGCCCAGATGCTATTACTGAAACAACACCCCCCTTCCTCGGGGCCCTCGGTTGTAGGTCCTTTGCCCACCACCCTTGGAATTATGGCTCTGAATGGCAGAGTTTGGTGAAAAGGAAAGGAACTATTTATTCAAAAGTTATGCAGGTTTGATTAATGGCTAAATGTCTCCCTTAAACCTCAAAATCCCTTTAAAACAATCACCAGCACACACAGTCCTGCCTTCCCCGCTTTGCCCAGTTAGATCAGTCAGGCCTGTCAGGGGTACCGTCCTTCAGAAGAAAAAGAACAGAAGTCCGGGGCTCCGCTAGGCAGGCCTCTCGCGGGTCTCAGCACCATCCGCTGCGTTGCTGCGATCTCCAGCTATTAATCCCTAACCACATCGCACTTTCTCATGGCCCACAAGTAAGAGTCCTTTCTCCCCTTCACATTGTTCCCCCGGCCTCCCAGCCCCCCCGCCGCGCGCCCCCCCGCCCCCCGCAGTCTTTGTCTCTTTATCTCTCCTGCAGGCCCCAGTCTCTCTCCTCTCCCAGTTACATTATGTATTAAGTCTTTTGAACCTTCCTGATTAGCTTTGGTGATATGCAAAATAATCCTTTTGCATATGAGGAATGAGGCTATCCTGTTATTGACATGCAAAATGACTCTCTTTGGCCCTGCTCAAGGCTCCCATCCCCCATGGCAGCCAGCCCTGGGGTGGGGAGAATATATTTTTTCTTGGACACCCCATTTTCTGGAACCTGTTACAAATACCCTTTGGGGGGGCCCTGGCTGTGCCCCATTACACTACCCCTACCACTGCCTCTATAGCCTGCCCAGTATCCCTGGGTTTTCTTTTAATCCTTCTTTTTGTTTAAAAGTATATTTTATTGATTATGCTATTACAGTTGTCCCATTTTACTTCTCCCCTTTATTCCCCTCGACCCTGCACCCGCCCTCCCCCCAACATTCCTCCCGCCCCTTAGTTCATGTCCATGGGTCGTACATATAAGTTCTTCGGCTTCTCCATTTCCTGAACTATTCTTAATGCCCTCCTCACTGGCCCATCTATTTGTACCTACCAATTGTGCTTCTTATTCCCTGTACCTTTTCCCTCCACCGCTCCCTGCTGATAACCCTCCATGTGATCTCTATTTCTGTGATTCTGTTCCTGTTCTAGTTGTTTGCTTAGTTTTTGTTTTTGTTTTTAGGTTCAGTTGTTGATAGCTGTGAGTTTGTTGTCATTTTACTGTTCATAGGTTTGATCTTCTTTTGCTTAGATAAATCCCTTAACATTTTATATAATACGTGCTTGGTGATTATGAACTCCTTTGACTTTACTTTATCTGGGAAGCACTTTGTCTTCCCTTCCATTCTAAATGAGAGCTTTGCTGGATAGAGTAATCTTGGATGTAGGTCCTTTGCCTTTCATGACTTCGAATACTTCTTTCCAGTCCCTTCCTGCCTGTAAAGTTTCTTTTGAGAAATCAGCTGAGAGGCTTATGGGAACTCCTTTGTAGATAACTGCCTCCTTTTCTCTTGCTGCTTTTAAGATTCTCTCCTTACCTTTAATCTTGGGTATTGTAATTAGGATGTGCCTTGGTGTGTGCTTCCTTGGGTCCAGCTTCTTTGGGGCTCTCTGAGCTTCCTGGATCTCCTGGAAGTCTATTTCCTTTGCCAGATTGGAAAAGTTTTCCTTCATTATTTTTTCAAATAAATTTTCAATTTCTTGCTCTTCCTCTGCTCCTTCTGGCACCCCTAGGATATGGATGTTGGAACATTTAATGTTTTCCCAGAGGTTCCTAAGCCTCTCCTCATTTTTTTGAATTCTTGTTTCTTCATTCTGTTCTGGTTGAATGTTCATTTCTTCCTTTTGCTCCAAATAGTTTATTTGAGTCCCAGTTTCCTTTTAGAGGGAAGGGAGTTGAGGGAGAGAGGGAGAAACATTGACTTGCTGTTTGACCCATCCATGGATTCACTGGTTGATTCTTTTTTTTTCTTAAAGATTTTATTTATTTATTTATTTATTTATTTATTTATTTATTTTTAGAGAGAGGGGAAAGGAGGAAGAAAGAGGAAGAGAAACATCAATGTGTGTTGGCTCTTGTATGCCTCCAAGTGGGGACCTGGCCCACAACCAAGGCACGTGCCCTGACTGGGGATTTAACTGGTAACTCTTTGGTTTGCAGTCCGGCACTCAGTCCACTGAGCCACACCAGCCAGGGCTGAGTCCCAGTTTCCTTACCTTCACTATTGTATTGGTTCCCTGTATATTTTTGTTTACTTCACTTTTCATAGCCTTCATTTTTCCCCTCTCTTCTGCGACCATACTCAACCATTTCTGTGAGCATCTGGATTGCCAGTATTTGAACTGTGCATCTGATAGGTTGGCTATCTCTTCATGGCTTAGTTCTATTTTTGAAGTTTTGATCTGTCCTTTCATTTGGGCCATAATTCTTTGTCTTGGCATACCTGTTTCATTCTAAGGGGCAGAGCCTTAGGTATTTGCCAGGGCGAGGCAACCCACTTCACTGAGTTGTGGTGCTGTATGTGGGGGAGGGGTCTGAGAGGGAACAATGCCACTTGCTCTGCAAGCCAGCTTTCAGTCACTTTCCTTGCTACCCACAAGCAAATTGGGCCCTCCTGGTGCTGATTCCCAGGTAGGTGGGTTTGTATATGTTCTATGACCCCATGGATCTCTCCAATGAACTCTCTTGTGAGGCTGGGAGTGTCTTCTGCCACCGCAAACCCCACAGGTTTTTCCAGCCAGAGGTGTTGAGGCTTTAGTTTCCTGTTCTGTAACCCTGGGTTGCGTGGTCTATCTTGCTCTCCAGTTGTTCCTCTTGGTTTATCTGCACACAAATGTGGGACCACCAGTCGCTGACTTGCTGTGCATCCTCTCTACCCTGGCTACCCATCTCCACCCATCCTACCAGTCTGGATGAATGTGTTTTGTTTTCTTTTTTTAATTTTTTAAATTTTTAAAATTTATTTTTAGAGAGATTGGAAGGGAGGGAGAAAGAAAGGGAGAGAAACATCAATGTGTGGTTGCCTCTTGAGCACCCCCTAATGGGAACCTCACCCACAACCCAGGCATGTACCTTGACTGGGGATTGAACCTGTGACCCTTTGGTTCACAGGCCAGCGCTCAATCCACTGAGCCACACTGGCCAGGGCTGGATGAATGTTTCTTCTTTAATTTTTTGGTTGTCCGACTTCCATATGGTTCAATTTTCTGGCATTTCTGGTTGCTTTTTGTTTTTAAATTTGTTGTTGTCCTTCTTTTGATTGTGTGAGGAGGCAAAGTGCATCTACCTATGCCTCCATCCTGACCAGAAGTGATATTTTCTCTTCTTGAGGAAAAAAATCCTCATATCCTCATACTCCCTCCTTCTCGAAACAAGCTCTTAAGGGATGATTTGATTCCTTCACAGTAAACATAAGTGACTGAAAATAGTTTAAAGTATACTTTCTCTAAGAGAAAGGAATACTGGAGTTTCAAGTAGAGATTTGAGGTAGTCATAGGTTTTAGCTCCATTTGACATTTCTCTCACAACACACATACATACTTTTAGTGCATATTCCACTTAAGCAGAGACCAGTCCAAATGGATCAAAATAAATGCTTTACTTAGAGCTGAAAATTGAGGTAATAACTAGGCAGTATCCCAACATGGAGACTTTGTGATGCCTAAAGGAAAATGGTTGAGTACACAGTATTATTTCGGCTGCTGAGGAGTCCTGGGAGCTACTAATTTAGGTGTCAGTTTTATCTGAAAGATGTATGTCATCCCCTTTTTCGTGGTCTAGTAGACCAATTAGGAATAGGGTATGTGGGCAGAAACCTAACCACTGTCTGATTTAATGAGCTTCTGAATGTAGACCTGACCAACTTACTGGAGAGAACAGAACACCATGTGCCAGCCTGTAGTGATGAGACCAGGAACATTACTTGTCTGACCACCAGTTTTCTTGATAGCCACTTAGAGACAGCTGGAAGGGAGGTATGCAGCAGTACTAAAAAGGCATGAATTCTTTTATGTATGAGTGTCATAGGTTGCTGACATCTGGCAGAGCAAAACAATGCCTATAGAAGCAGGTATCTCTGAAATCCTGGGTTGGAGTAGGTTATAATTAGAAACCTGTAGAAGAAATTCATGCTTCTTAATGAAGTCATACATTTGGTTTATTTCTCACATTTTAATTTATTTTCAATTAAATTGAAAACGAGCATTGTGAATTAGCATTGCTTTGAGAAACTTGCTATCATGCACAAGAAACTTGTGAAATGCGTGAGGCTCTTTCCCCTTCTCTTTTCTTCAGATAGCCAATGCTATTTCAGCATACTAAAACCTTAAATTTTATGATTTCTTTAATAGTTTTAATTCTGGAATGGCTAGATAGAATTCACCAGTAGGGATTGACAACTGGTAAAAGATATTTAGCAAGGACTTAGAACAAATTTCTCACACACCATACTACTTTGTATAGTGAACCTTACTTATGCCTTACAATTTGATTCAATGATGATAGCCTGGCATAGAACAAATATTTTTATCTGGTAACTTTGATCACTCTTTTAAAAAATTACCTAAGTAAAATAAATCTAATCATTCAGTAACCTGCCTGTTGCCTGTTCAAATTGAAGGTACCAGTGCTACGATTATGGTATATATCTTTAAAATGAAATCATACTATACCTATTATTCTATTACTTGATTTTTCACTTACTATAACATGGACATCCTTTAGATCTGTGAGCACTAATTAAATTTTTACTACTATGGATATTTTACAAACATTAAAGAAATGGTAGAAATTAATGGTGAGAAACTGACTTACTGGAAGCTTCCCAATGAATCAGTGGCAGCATGTGGTAGAGAATGCTCCCTAACAGTTAAGAGAGAGCATGGATTATTAATTTAACCTATCTCACTTTAATTCAGTTCCACTATTTATCATCTGTGTTACCTTACTCAAGTTATTTTACCCTCCTTGTGACTCAGTTTCTTCATTTCTAAAATGTGGACAATCATAGTAATTACCTCATAAATTGATGTGAGAATTAAATGAAATGATATATATAAAACTACTTAAAACTGTGCCTGTTACATGGTAAATGCTCAAATGGTATTGTTGTTATAAAACACTCAATAAAAATTTATTATTAGTGTTATTATTCACAGCCCTGGCCTCACCCTGAATCTGATATGGAAAGCAATATTCAAAACATGAACTCCAAATTGAAGTCGAGTTTCAAAGGAAAGCCATGCAGTGGCAGTAACTAGTGGCAGAAATCTAGTAACTGCCGTGAGTGCTCAGTCTTAGTTATGGAAATGTGGTAACTTCTCTTGTCCCTTGCTTGTATTCCAGGTGGGGAGATATCTTCCAAAAGTGAACTGGATGAATTGCAGGAAGAAGTGGCCAGGAGGGCCCATGAACAGGAACTTCGAAAGAAACGGGAGAAGGAATTAGAGGCAGCTAAAGGGTTTAACCCCCATCCTAGCCGCTTTATGGACTTGGATGAACTACAAAATCAGGGTAATTGTTGTTGATGATAAATGATTGTCAGTGATGGGGACAATGAAAGAGGGAAGAAAAAAAAAATACACTAAGCTCATAAATTCCCTGTCTTTGCTTTAGCAAAATTATATTTTATTTTAATTCAGCCATTTCAGTGAAGTAGAGGTTACAGGCCTGTTGGTTGGAGACAGGCACTCATTTTGGGCCCATCTGTTTAAAGCCTATAGATTACAAATAGTATATTGTTTATGAAAAATAGATGTTCCATGAACATCTATAGAAAGTGTAAATAAAATGAGTCACAATTCATAAACAGCAGAAAAGGGTACTAAGCAAGCTACACTAACAGTGAGGAGAATTCTACTTGCTGGGCAGAAACATACCCTCTAGATTTCCCACTGGAGCTCAAGGGAAGTCAATCTACCAAACAGGTTCTAAGAACAGAGAACCTGATTGCCCTTTGATCCTCTGATGATCCATTTCCCAATCTCATATGATTTTCATGGACTTTACTTAAGCTTCTCTAACTGCCCCACATTAGTCACATTTTTTTCTTCAATTGCCTTAGGAATACTTAGTAACAGAAGAGACTAGCCTTCAAAAATAGGAGGTCAAAAAAGCTGAGGTATCTACCTTAAATAAGTACTGAAACCTATATCTCTTTTATTTTTAATAAAATGAATTTGTTATTCTTATTATTCAGAATCCCTGGATGTAACAAATTGTGTTAACCTATTGTAAAGAATAGGAGTCAATGCTAATTTGGGTGGTTGCTTTCTGTTGATCACTTCCCTCTTTTTATCGCACATAAAGAAGCTTCCTGGGTTAATTTGGGGGCCTATTTGGGGGCTCCTTTTCTCCTCTAATCCTGCAGTCTTTTGATTCAAGTCAATTGTTGACTTTTATTTACTAAGGCTTTGTATTTGTTTCCAAATCAGTTTTAAATCCCTAAGTCCTCAGCTGTCCTTATATTTGGATAGTCTTCCTTTTTATCCTCAAGCTTTATCGTATTGGTATCTCAGGTTTATATCACTTTTGAAAGAGGAGCCCTTTCATCTCCCTCCCTTGCCTTTTTTCTCCCCCTTCTGTCTATAAAGTAGTAAGTACATTAAAGTTGAGAGGGAATCCCTCTGGCTGTATTTCATTGCCAACTCCATACACTTTGGTTTAGCTTCCCCTGGAAGAGCAAGAAATGGAGTGCTAAGATTCTAGAGGTTAGGAATTGAAATCCAGCACAGCGGTGGGTCAACTATAGTTTACCTATATCTTTGTAGAGAACTTTGTTTTAATGGCCGTAGCTACCACCCGTTATTATAAAGGTTGTATAGAGTCAGTAGATTTCAAATATTATAGAACACTTCAGGTCTGGAGCCTGGGAAGAACAGCATCTCTGGAGGTGGCATAGAACTGGAGTGCCAAGTTCTTCAGAACTAACTTACTACTTCCATGACCTTTCCATTACTCTTCAAAAGCCATGGTAAATTAGGAATGAATGCTAGGGGTGTGGAAGAGCCTTTCTTACCATGTCCCATTAAGGTAAGTGGAAGGTTGAGACATTATGGTAGAAGTGACTCTGACTTTTTTTTTTTTCCTTTTGAGCTTGGGAAAACTCACCATTAATCCCAAATGTAGGTGAATTTATAGTACAGCTACGACCAATTTATGGTTATGAGTGAGTAAAAGGCAAAGGGGCACATAAACTTGAGGATTCTTTCACAAAAGTTGCCCTTACAGTACTTTCTTGCTTTTTCATCTGGCTCTGTACTTGGACTCTCCTGCACCTGCTTTGGCACACATTCACTTTCAGGGGAGGAAGGAATACCTCATGCTCTCTGTATGGGAAGGTAACTTCTGTGAGGTAGGTTTGGTGAGCAATGGCATGATAAAAGTAAATACTTAGCCGTGCTGATGAAAAGTATGTGCATGCAAACCAACCAAGGCAGCTCAACAAATCTATTGAAGTTAGGAACTGTAGACCCCCTGTGCTGAAGAGGTATACTGATTTTTCATTTGAGGGCGGTGCAGAGAGGACTGTGAATTGATGTAGGAGCAAAGTGTTAACAGATGGCTTTCCACAGAGTAGTGCAGCCACTTTTGCATTAACCCAGCAGCTGAGGTCTCAGTGGAGATCTCGAGCATTCTGATACTGGTTGGCAAGATGTGTCTGGTTGCACTGTGGAAAGGCAGGTCAGTAAAGGTGTAAGAACCCACACTTTCGCTACAGGCAGTACTTCGTTCTTTCCTTGAGGGACTCCCTCAGAGGCCTTGGAGTTGGAGTATGTGGTGGACAAAGACATACCCTCTTTCATGCCTTGGATACTGTCTTCGTTAAGGCAAAAATGGATGTCCTACGTGTTTCAGAGAATTCTTAATAGCAGTGGAAAAGTTGGAGTAAGGGTAGAACAAAGGCTCAGCAGCAAGGATCTATGTGCACTGAAGGGAAACAACAGTACATAGGAAAAGCTGGAACCAATTGTAATGAAAATGAAAAGTGCTGGCCCTTTCAGGGAGGAGTGACGGCTTTGAGAGGTCCCTGCAAGAGGCAGATTCAGTATTTGAAGAGTCGCTGCATCTGGAACAGAGGGGAGACTGTGCTGCAGCTTTGGCTCTCTGTAACGAAGCTATCTGTAAGTAACTCTAACCAATATGCCTATGGCACTTTTGATTAACTTCATAACAGGTATTACTAGTGTTGGCATTCAGATGGAACAAAAACAGCTTTTATGTCTCCCCACTTACTCTTCCAAACTGAGAGGCCCTTTAGCTATCTTTGCCCTTCAGATTTGTAAGTGTGCCAGGCGTCGTCACTGTGGCCTATGGATATTTACTGGGATAATCAGGAGGACACAGATGAATGATTACCCAGCCATGCCTATCTTCTTGTCCCAAGATAAATTCGATCTTATATGTGAGGTTAGTTTGCTCTTTCTCTAGTCACTGCCCCGTGAGGTGCAGCTTATGGACGGGAGAGAGTAATAAATTGGCTGTGACTTCGCACTGCATATTTAATTCGTGTTTCTCCCCTGCCTTTCTGGTATGCCGCATCATTAGGTTATAGCAAGGGACTAAGGCTTAGAATTTGTATCTGGTTCTTAAATGTGACCCACAAGAAGCTGTGTTCTGCAAAGACAGATGCAAGTTTGGATCTTATTTCTGCTGTTGGCCATCAGGAAAGGGGAGTTGGGAGCAGAGTGTGGAGACCAGAGTCAGACAGGTCAGTTGCAAAAGACAAGAGTGGCAACCTCTAAGATGGAAGTACCAGTTTATCTTTTTAACTCATTTTAGTTTAGCTTTTTGTTTGTTTGTTTTTTAAATTTGAATTAACCTGTTTGGCCTCCATGGCTTCTGTGAATGTTCCTTACAGCCAGAGCCAGCTCTGTGCCCTGGACAGCACATGCATGGTTCACGCCTTACATTCCTGCTGCATATTTTGAGTTTTACTGCATATCTTTGCTCATTTTTTGTTCAATTTTATTCTTTTTATTTTTGTTTGTATTTTGTGTTCTGTTTCTGCTATATTTTCTTTTGCATTTTAGCTAAACTAAGACTTGCCCTGCATGGTGCCAGCACTAGCACGCACAGCAGAGCCCTAGTCGATAAGAAGTTGCAAATCAGTATTCGAAAAGCACGGAGCCTGCAGGATCGCATGCAGCAGCAGCAATCATCGCAGCAACCGTCGCAACCCTCAGCCTGCCTCCCCTCACAGGCAGGGGCCCTCCCTCAGCCAACAAGGTAGTGCCTGGGAACCACAGCAGTTTATGTGTGCCAGGGGAGGAAGTGACCACGGGTGCTCCACGGCCAGAGTTCTTAATTGCCTTGGCGACTGCAAGGGAGAGAAGACTGCTCTGAAAACATTTATTCTCTCAGGTCACACATATAGTAAAAGCTCATTCCACTGCTCGTCCTTTTCTTAATTGTTTCTAGAAAGGTGAAGAAAAGCATAGCATGGTAAATAGACCACTTGTTCATATTTCCTTTGGGGGAGTTTTTCCTCGGACTTCTGTAATAACAGGATTATTAAGTTTGTACATATTAAGTTCTTAGACATGGCAAGCCAAGCTACATTTCACGTTGTAGGAGAAGCCATGTGATTTGTTTTGAGGTTTTAGTGGCTTCTTGTCCCTCATGGAAGCAGAAAAAGCAGTTTTCCTTGTTTTGATGAAACCATAGAGAAGAGACACAAAGATTCCCTTTGTTCCGATTGCTTGTGGACAGGACTAGGAAAAAAGTCCCTGTGGCCACTGATGTCATTCTCACATTTTAGCCCTTGAATGTGGGTGTTACTTAAAATAGATAGGTTTTAGTAAAAGTAAATTTTGGCTGTCAATAACCCTGAGTGGTTTTCAGAATATCATAAAAGCAGCTATCATTTTTTTAACATCCGCCTATACCCAGGCACTAAGCTTAAACACTTTATGTTTTATTTTAGTTCTCACAATAACCTTAGGATAAGGACTATTTAGTGATACACATAAATAAGGAAATCAGGCTTAGAGGATAAGTAAGGCACCCAGTATTACTCAGCTAGCAAGTGATAGAAGTTTAGAATTCAAATCCAAGTAGGTCTGTTTGACTCCATTAGGTTTCCCATATGATATCATATTCTTCATAATGTGGTAAGGGTGACTGAGTGACTGTATCCCCAAAAGTTTATAGTATATTATCATTCAAATTTAATGCTCGTAGCTAGGGTCCTTTTTCTCCTGTTGTGTAGTCCTCCAGTTGAATGCTGACCTGAGAATCTGATGGTCTGATTTGATGTTTTAAATAGAAACAATTTAGGCAGCTAAAGTCTTTCCAGGAAACTTATGTCATTTGATGTATGTGAGTGATCAAGGTTTTATTTAAGTGCTTCTAACACAGTTTTTAGATCAGAAATATAAAACAATTAGTGAGAAACCAACTAAATGCTAACTCCCACCCCCAAATTTTAAAACAGTCACAGTGCGTTACTTTGGGGAAACATCTCAGTGAGTAATACAACCCAATCCAGATTATGAAAACATATTTGAAATGGTTGATTGATTTTTATGTAATTTCATGAGCCCAAACCACCTTGTACTCTCTAAATATGGCCTTTTGGTTCTTTTGGCTGTTCTGCCTCTCCGGACCCCAGGTATGAATGGTTTCTAGGCTTTGCTTACTTTCCAGGTCATCTGCCTATGGGACTAGCAATTTTCGTTTTTTTAATTTGCAAGTAAAATATGATTGAAATAGGACTTTACGGGTAGTGAAGAATACTGGCAGGGGCTTTACTTAATATTACTCTGTGGAACATTGGTGAGGGCATGTATTAAAGAGGATTAATATTACCTATTATTTGGGTGTAAGCAGACCATGTGCCTTCTCTTTTGAGCCTCCGAATTGTTGACTATACTTGTGCTTGTCTTTGCATTTATTTTCACCATTCCCCCTGTGATAGCTAGAAATGGAAACTGAGTAAAGAGTTTTTTTAAGTGTTCTTACCAATCAAGACAGCTTATGACTGGCTCTCTCCATTTATTTCAGTGAACAGCCTGTCCCGCTCCAAGTATTGTTAAGCCAGGAGGCCCAGCTGGAACCCTACATGGATACAGAGTTTGGGGCCAGTTCTTTCATCTACTCATCTGCTTCCTGCCATGAATCACAGCCATCACTATTCCCAGAGTCATCTACCCAGTCTGCCCCACAGCACAATTCCCTCAGTAGGTCTGCCTCGAACCTTCTTACTTCTGTTGAGGTAGATAGCGTTGACCCCTCTGTGTTGCACAGGCAGTGCTTACCTAAAACACAAGGGATGACTGAGAACTCTCATCATGGTTGGGAACCATTAGATATACCAGAGGGTAAGCCGCAAAGCTACAGGGATGATAAAAGCACCTGCAACGGATTCCCCCCTCAAGAAGGAAGAGGCAGTGATCAAGAAGAAGTATTCCAAGAAAAGAGGGATCCTCTTGATTCCTCCCAGGTGATAGCTTGGTCACATCCCACTGGAACAGCCACCTGTGAGAGAGATGATGTACACAGCCTAGCCTGTAGTTCTGCAAGTTCATCAGCTCAGCCCAACCTTCTCCTTTACAGAGCCTGCCACCCTGTAATGCCTGCTGCTTCCTCATCTGTGTTTCACTCTCCTGATACTGTGCAGAAAACTAACCAATGCCTCCAAGCCAAAAGCCTCAAAACTTTGTTGACTTCAAAAGTGGATGGAGGCAGTGAGGAGCCCTTTAAGCCAGAGTTTCTGGGCACAAAGGGGCGTGTCCGCTCTCTGGCAGAACAGTTTCAGAGGATGCAAGGTACCACCACAAGGGATGGTGCAGGTTGCCAGGACAGAAGTTTTCCACATAGTCTAAGGAAGAACTCTTCCTCTTCTGACTCTAAGCCTCCCTTCCCACAGGGTCAAGGGAAAGGCCATTGGCCTTGGGCAAAACAGCAACTCTCTTTGAATAGTAGGGACAGACTGCCTTCCTGGGAAGAGCCTTCTGATCATCCTTCCCTTGCCATGAACTCTGGGCTGCCCAATGGTGAAACTTCTTGGGGAGGACAACCCAGGTTGACAGAACCAGATATGTACCAAAGGAAGCCATCGCAAGCAAGAGATGATAGGCCCAAGGCGTTGGGGAGCAATGTCGACTTGGGAACTTCCTTGCCTTTGGATTCCTGGGTGAATGTCACAAGGCTCTGTGATTCTCAGCTTAAACATGGGGTCCCTGGGCCAGAAATGAAGTCCTCTCCACCGAATCCCCATACCCATGTAGCCTATCCAGACAGAAACCACATTCTTTTGCATCCACACTGGAACCAAGACACAGAGCAGGAGACCTCAGAATTAGAGTCTCTCTACCAGGCCAGTCTTCAGGCTTCTCAAACTAGCTCTTCTGGATGGGAGCAGCAGGATGTGGCCTGGTATCCACTTAGCCAAACAGGTAAGAATGCAAACAGGGATCGGGGAATGAAGGACATATAAAAGCTTGAGGACAAGGTCAGTGGTGGGGTAGTGTTCTGTCCAGATAATATCCCCTGTTCAGGAGGTTGTAGTAGAACTTTTGACTTTATTTATAAAGACTTCAGGACAAGGGCCAGACATTTTTATAGCTAGAGTGAAGAATGGGGACAGAATCATCACTCACAGGCCAGTTCTCTCCTTCTAAAGAAAAAGGCCAATGAGTATATGCCCAGGGTTTCTTCAGTGAATGAGTCAGTGCTAAGGAATGGCTCACAGGTCTTTAAGAGTGATTCAGCATGACATGGTTGAAGCTGAGAGGAAAACTCATCCTTCCATGGCTTAGAAGATCCAGCATCACCCCAAGATCCAGCTTCCAGATCCAACTTGCCATGAGGATGTCCACATTGAGCTGAGTCTGCAAAGGGCATTTCCAGATTATACTGGACCAGCAATCTCAAGACCTTCCCTAATCCCTTTAGGAACTACCAGGTTTAGAATTTTCAAGGTAGTATGCCTGTATGGTACCCATTCACTGACTTTTCATGAGGTGGTATTGTGTCGAGAGAAGTCTACTCCTTAAATGCACATCAGAGACTTAGTTCTGGAAATTGAATAAATGAAGAGTGTTTATACTTTAGATTGATGCTCTTAAGAATTTCAAAGCCTGAACTATTTTCCTGGCTTCATCATTAACTGTCAGTTTAAATTTGGACAATTCACTTAATATCCCAGGGCCAAGTTTTTACCTGTAAAAAGATAATTAATTCAATTTTTTTTTAAAGATACCTTCCAATTCTTAAAATATATATATGATTCTGTGAAATTGAATTCAAGAGAACTTTATCTTCAACTCAGGCATACCAGTTGCCACAATGGTATTGGTTCCTTGCATGCTGCCAACCAGTGTTTACAACCAAACAACAGGTGTTTAATGAGTACCTACTATGGTCCAAGGAGCTGTGGGGAGTTATCACATAAATATGAGATTTGATATTATGTTTTTTAGGATGTGCATCCTAGTGTAGACTTTGCAATGACATGCATATATGAAGTGCCCCTTACGTACACACAGGGGCAGGGCAGTATGGGAAGATTCTAAAGAATGAGGAAAAGCTGGAGTTGGCCTCAGTTAGCTTCCTGTGTAGTGTAAGGGAGAAAGAATACACAAATGTCAATTGTTTTAATAATAGTAAACACATATAAAAGAATACATTGCAAGTAAAATATAATTAACTAATTGACTGTCAAACAGTATATTACAAAAACAAAGCAAAACAAAAAAAACAACAACCTTATATTACCCCAAAAAGCAAAATTTTCATGGTGGATAGTCTTGAAATATATAAAGTAATAAAAATTTTAGATAATCCCATTCTTCAAGTTTCATGAGTTTGCTTCCAGCTTTTTTATACATATTTAATATATATTTTATTTTTATAAAAAGCAGGATCATTATATGATTGACTAGGCTATTTCCAGTTTTTTAATAATATTACACTGTGGTGAATATCTTTACACTTATGTGTTTGACCACATTTCTGATAAGCTCCTTAGAGTAAACTTTTAGAAGAGTAAGAACTAGTTGAAAGTTATAAACTCTTTAAAAATTTCTTGATATTTACTGGCAAATTAGCCTTCAGGAATATTATACTCCTAAAATCAATATGAAAGAGTACCTACCAACCATTAATATTGTTTCTTTGACAGTGAACAAAAACTAATTTAAAAAATCCATCTAATGAATCAGTTCTCAAAATACTTGTCAAATAGCCTTTAGGGGAGTCCTTCTTTATCTTAATTGTAAAGCATTTATTAAACACCAAATTACTGGTACTTTCTCTCACTTCTTTACTGATACATAAAATGACAGATAACATTGTGTACATTTAAGGTGTACAATGTGAGGTTTGATACATGCATGTACTTATTACTAAATGATTACCACAAGAAGGTTAGTTAACACAACCATAATCACACATAATAATATTTTGTGGTGAGAATGTTTAAGAGCTACCAATGTTCATGTATAAAATACAATGTTGTCGACTGTAGTCATGATCCCCAGAACTTAAAACTGGAAGTTTATACCCTTTGACTAACATCTCTTCGATTCCCCCAACCTCTAGCCCCTGGCGACTACCATTCTATTTCTATTCTGCCTATAGATTTGCTTATTTTGGACATTTTATATAGATGGAATCATATAGTATACTGTGTTTGTGACCAGATTATTTACATGGTTATAATTCCTAAAGATTTATACAAACTCTGTCCTAAATTTCATAGTACTTTGGAGTTGGACAGACATCTTAAAAAAATAACTTTTTGTTATAGTATATTAAAAAATTAAGAGTAAGAGTAAATGTTATACATCCCCTTATGTACTTATCACTAACTTGCATGATGATTATTTTGGCCAGTTATTAATATGTGGCCAATAATTGATTTAGCTATAGCACCCTCCCCTTTCCCTTTCCCATTGGATTACTTTAAAGCATATCCTAGACATTATATCATTTCATCCATAAATAGTTTAGAATCTCTCAAAGAAATAGACTTATTTTTTAATTTTTTAAAAGATTTTATTTATTTTTAGAGAGGGAGGAAGAGAGGGAGAGAAACGTCAATGTGTGGTTGCCTCTCACACGCCCCCTGCTGGGGACCTGGCCTGCAAGGCATGTGCCCTACACAGGGAATCCTTTGGTTCACAGGCCGGACTTCAGTCTACTGAGCCACAGCAACTAGGGCTATTTTTTAATTTTTATTTATTGATGACAGAAAGAAAGAGAAACATTGACTTCTTGTTCTACTTATTCTATGCATTCCTTGGTTGAGTCTTGCATGTGCCCTGACTGGGGATTAAACCCACAACCTTGGTGTGTTAGGACAATGCTCTAACCAATTGAACTACCTGGCCAGAGCTCTGCTTAAGTATCTTTAAAAGAATCAGAATCTTCTCCCTTTGGGAAGTTTCAGTGGCCACCTCCTTGTCTAGGGAAGCATGCTTGACTTGATTAAAGGAGCACCAGATTCTCATCATCATAGCTGAAATTCTTAAATCTGTCCATTATAGTCATCTAAGGACTGGCTTTAAAAATAACCAAATAATTTTATATAAATGGGATTATAGCACACATGCTATTTTTATTGTGGACAATTTTACTGTGTATTTCTCCTCCCCTCACATCAATCCCTACCTTCCCAGGTAATAATATAGTGTGCATATTTCTCTATTTTTCTGTTTATAAAATCCTGTGTGGATCTATATGAACAGTGTTTTTTGGCCAGGGGTGGCCGGGTTAATATTATAGGGTTTTGGGTTTTTTTTCCTCTTAACAATACTTTATGAAAATCCCTCCAAGTCATCTAGTTTAACTCAATTCATTCTTTTTAGGGGTGGGCAATATTTGATATTGAGGATATCATAATGTATTTAGGCATTCTGCTATAGATGGGCATTACTTTATTTCTAATTCTTGGCTACTACAAACATTGCTACAATAAACTGGTATTTTTGCTTCTTATTCCCACGAGTAAAATTGTTGGGTAAGAGGGTAAATATATTTTCAACTTTGATATTTCTAGATTGCTTTTTAGGAAGACTATAACATTTTACATTTCATAAACAATGTCTGAGTATATTCTCCCACACTTTTTTTAAAAATCCTTACCTGAGGACATGTTTATTGATTTTAGAAAAAGAGGGAAGGGGAGAGAGAGGAAGGGAGAGAGAGACAGAGAGGGAGACATCAATGTGTGAGAGAAACATCGGTCGGTTGCCTATTGTATGCACCCAGACTGGAGATTGAACACACAACCTATGTATGTGCCCCAACTGGGAATCGAACCCACAGCCCTTTGGTGCACAGGACGATGTTCCAACCAACTGAGCGACCCGGCCAGGGAAGGATTCTCCTACACTTTTAAGGGAAGCCTCTTAAAAATAAATATTTCTGTGCTCCAACCACAAAGATTCTGATTGAGTAGGTCTGTGGAGAGATACAGGAAGCTGTATTTTTTAAAGCTCCTAGATGAATCTGAGGTGGTTTTAGGACCACTGCATTTAAGCTCCAGGAAGCATTAAAAATAGCTGGTCTTCTAGCTTTATATCAGCAATATGATGCTTTAGCCTGATGACATATATTAGAATCAAAATATCAAATCAACACATGAATTGGCAATAGGCATAGATACATCAAATACAGGTCAAGGGCACGTGCATCTTCAGAATGGAAGGCTTAATTAGTTGTATTGGGGCAAGCCCCTTGGGAATGACATATCCAGTTTGGAGCAGCTCTTAACAGTCTAGCAAGATTCTGAGAAGATAAGCATTTAGAGATTATTTAGAATTTTAAGTAATTTAAGAAGCTAATGGAAATAAAGTGTCACACATACAAAATGTTGCTGAAGAGCTCCCGTTCATAATAATAGGAGGCAAAAATTGAGGGACTTGAAATTTTAACAATGGTTAAACTACTTACTACCTGTCAGACCATGGAACTCATTTTCATGTTATATAAAATGAAGAGGTTTGATAGATGATTACTATGATCATTTCAGTTTCTAACTAGACTGGAGATAGTTGCTTTGTCACCACAGACACTCTAGAGAATCACTATGTTGGAAAATTTCCTCTGTATGTATTTTAAATCTTGGGCCCAAGTCTGACAGAAGCAAAGTTAATTGTGTTTACAAAAATGAAATGAGGCAAGATGGGGGCATTCAGCTCTCTCTCCAGAGCCCCTTCTGTACAAGGTTCCTCAAAGCCTATGTTCTGAGACCCTTGTGGCCTATCAGAAAACTATGCATGTTCTGAAACTTTTACTTCTACATTCCAGGAGCACATCCTCCATTAGATTCAGGGATGCATATTTGTTGTTTAATGAAACAACTCCTGAGTTTGGTGCTGCCAGGCTCAGAGTTTAGGCTCCAAGAGAAGGGAGGGCTTCAACTTGTATTTATCTTTTCCTCCTCAGGCTCTGCAGATGGCATTGGAAGGAGGTTGCACTCAGCCCCTGGCCTTGGTCTCTCAAAGACCCCAACAGCAGAAATGGAGCACAGCCTCCATGAAGCCAGCACAGTGTCTGCTTCTCAGGTAGCAGCCTTAGGTGCCAGAGTGCTGGGCATGGGGTGTTGTGTTGGGGAAGGAATTGGGGGAGAGAGATGATTGGTAGGGTTGGTGGTAAGGCAGGGGCATGGTAATGTGGGGCTATTAGATGAGAACAAGATCTATGACTGAGCTGCTTTTGGATGAGAGGAGATTGCCACCTACCTTTCAAACATATCTAATTCAGGTGTCTACCAGTGAGTCTTACCCGACTGCCTCCCACATTGCTGGGAACAGGGTCTGTGGGAAAACCCTATGTCTGGTGTTATGTGTTTGCCTATGTGTCTGTGGATTTGAAGGCTACACCTTGCCAAGACCCCAGCAGGAGTATGGAGAAGATGATTAAGTACAGTACAGAGAATTTTTGCTGCATCTCATGCAATCTCAGTGGCACTGTTGCCTTACAGAGGGAGGAGGCCCCAGTCTCTTCCCACAGTGTTGTAAGTAGAATCAGTGTCTCTCTATTCAGAGCAACCTCTTTCTCTTGCTAGGTAAAATACTGTGCAAGTGAAGAGGCAGAAAAAACTGAAGGTTGTACTTTGGGGGCAAATTATGTGTCCTCAGCAAGAATGAGGACACATAGTCATTATTTTATTGTCCCACATTTAGTAGAAGCCCAGAGGAATGTCCCTTCCCTGTAGTAGTTCTGCAAGGTGCACTGTAGGGTTCCCCAGGGTGAGAAGAGTCCTAGTAGCCTTGAGAGGAGTCTCTGAGAAGCAATGTCTGCTGATTGGGTCAGAACCCGTTGCACTAATCAAAGGAAGAAGCGGGATGGACTATTGTTTTGCCTTTTCCTCCCCACCCTAGTACATGACTGAGTGAGGTCCAGTGTGCTTTCAAGCTGAAATAAAGCAGACACATTAGCAAAAAAAGGAAAATGATTTTAAAAATCCTCCACCTGAGGCCTTTCTTACATAAGTAATGTGGTAATCTATGGGCGAAATGGATAGGGACACCCAAGTCAGCAGAGATCAAAAACCTCAAATAGTTTCAGTGGCCAGATTTATAAATTGTGCCTTTTGAGAATTTCACACACTTGCCCAAGGAAGTTTAGTTTTCGTTATAGTAGAGGTCAGGATGTAAAGCACCAGTGCATTGAAACTTGTTCACCAAGCTAGCTCAATAAAAAATTTAAAACAGATTTCAAATATGTGGTATAAAAATTAAAAGGTACAGAGGATATAGAGTGAAAACTAAGTCTCTGTTCTACCAGTCTTTCAGATCCAGTTTCTGTTCCCTAGAAGCAGTTATTTATTCCAATTTATTTTTCATCAGTTCCTGAACAACACTGAAGAGTTTGCTATTCTTTTTGGAAAAGGTGGTCTTTTTTGCCCAGCATGTCTTCTATACCTTTAATGCATTTAATGGCAAATTGTTACTTTCCTAGGAAATCTGGCTTGCCTTCTGACTTCCATATTATTTATTTATTTATTCATTCTTTTAATTGCCTATTGAGCGTATGTTCTAGGTACTCCGCCAGGTGCAGGGGATACAGTGGCTAGGGAGCTAGATGTAGTCCCAGTTTTCATGGACTTTACAGTCTACTGGAGGAAACATAAACAATTCTAATATAACATGATGGGATTTAATGCTATGGAAGTATAATAGAAGGAAATCTAAACTAGCTTTGAAGGATAAAGGAAGACTTCCTGGAAGAAGTAAAAAAAATATATATATATATAGAACAGGTAAAGGGACCTGAAGTCGATGTTAACTGAATTAAAAGAAGCTTGGTATGGCAAGATTAGAGTCTGACAAGGGAAGAATGGGGAGAGTTGACTGGTGAGACTGAAAAGGATAAAAACAAGGATTACATTATGAACTACAGTAAGAAGTTTGGGAGGATAGTGAGAAGTGGACATACTGAAGAGCCAATTAGGAAGCAAAAATCAATGGGACTTGGTGCCTGCCTGCCTTGATATGGGAAAGGAAAATCAAAGATCATGTCCAAGAGTTACGGGCTGATTGATAATGATGTATCTGGGGGAAGAGATAGGTACAATTTTGGATATACAGGGTGGGGCAAAAGTATGTTTACAGGCCTATGGAAAATAATGCAATGATTAATAAATATTAACACCAGAATGAACTCTGTGTTTTGTGTACTTATAAATATAAATGTACTTTTGCCCCAGCTAGTATTAAGCTTGAGTGGAGCTATCTTGTAGGCCTTTGGATGTGAGACATATAGGCTTGAAATTGAGATTTGAGAATCATACCCATTGAAAAGAGGAAGAATATTGTGAAAGGGGGGAGCCAGGACATATTCCCAAAGAGTATCGGATTTAAGGTGGTTCTTCTGAAGACCTCTAAAAGGAGACTTAGTAAAAGAGATCAGAGAGATAGGAGGGAAACCAGTGAAGTGTGGTGTCATTCTCTTCTGTCTAAAAGAAGGGAATAGTTGGCTGTGTCACATGCTGAAAGGACCTGGCCCTTAGGCTCTATGGTAAATGCCTACTATGTGCCATGCTATGGTAGGTGCTATGAGCATTCGGATGAAAGAACACAAATTCTGTCCTTAATTAGCTTACAATGTCATAAAGAAAATAAGATATACTGGCATATATTATTTTATTTAATATTTAATTAAATGCCTGTAATGTTCCAGGTGCCGTTCAAGGTGCTGGGGATACTGGAGTGAAAAGAACTATATTCTACTAGGAGAAAAAGACAATTAACAAGTTAATCATAGACAATATGTGATAAAGAAGAATAAAACAAAGCAAGAGGATAAGGAGTGAAGAGGTAACAGTGGTTATTCTCAGGGTTATTTTTTGATAGAGTAGTGAGGGAAATCAGCTGTAAGGAAGTAACATTTGATCGGAGACCTCAGTGATATGAAGGTGTGAGCCATGGAAAGAACATTCCAGGTAACAGAAGCAGTAAGTGTAAAAGGCCGGAGTTGAAATGAGTGTGGTGTATTTGTGGAACATTAAGAAGGCTGGAGTGTAAAAGGTGCAGGAATGGTAGGAGATAAGTGAGGAAGATTGGCATTGCCATATCACATAGGAACTTGCAGGCCACAATAAGGAGGTAGTGGGCTGAGATAGGAAGATCAGATCAGAGGTTGTTGCCGTGGTCCAGTTAAGTTGAAATATGAAACCTATGGGTTGAAATGACAGTATTTGGCAAAGGCAACTAATGAAATGGTGGGTGAAAAGTGCAAAATCAAGGGCAATGTCAATATATGAGTCTGGGTGACTTAAGTAAATGGGGTACCTGGAAGAGGAGTTTGGAAGAATGTTGGTTCAATTGCGGACATATTAGTGTTTCAAATGATAAAGGGGATATTCCAGAGATTTTTGCCATATAAGTGAATGACTGATGGAGTGTAGAGCAGGACATAACCATCAGTGGGTGCAAACTTGACAGGCAAACAAGGAGACAGTAGGATGTAACAATAACAGGAGAGAAAATGGAGTAGTAGAGTTCCTGATTTTACTTAAGGAGATATATTTTGGTTGCCGATATTTAGAGAGAGTATAGAATTTTCTTTCTCAATCTCTCAGGCTTTCTGAAGTTCTCTCTCATTTCTTTTCTATTTTTACATTTCTATCTCTATCTCTCTAATTCTACTGTTAGCATCAAGGAGTTTCCTGAAGATGTAAATGGTAGGGTTGGGAAGGTAAGGACTATGAGGAAGACAAGTTAAGAGAGGAGGATCTGCAGTTTGGTGTCTCCAGTTAATAGTGATCAGGATGTTTCCTAGAGGGACTAAGAAGAGTGACTGAGTAAATTGAGTCCCTTTCTAGAACAAGGCAAGTTTGCACTTTAGTTCCCTCCATCTCCCCCTGCTTGCCTCACTGTGTTTACCCAACCATGTCCTGCTGTATGTTAATTCTCATCTCTGTGTTTTTTTGTCGTCTCATTATAAGGATTCATCAAACGCGAGGAAAAAGGCTTTGGAAACCAGGCACCGTTGTTCCAGCTCCTCTTCCCTCCCTGTCATCCATGACCCTCCTGTGTTTCTCCTTGGTCCCCAACTCTACCCACCCCAACCACAGTTCCTGTCCCCAGATGTCTTGATGCCCAGCATGGCAGGGGAGCCCTATAGACCCCCAGGTAACTCTCCCCCCTCAAGTCTAATATTATGTGCCAGAATATGCTACCTTTTCAGGGACCTAAAGATTTAAATTAGTACACATATAGGGGTGTGTGAGTGTGTGTGTGTGTGTGTGTGTGTGTGTGTGTGTACACGCCAAGGTGGGGTCATAAAGGGATACAAATTACTGCTTTAAGATCAAGCATTGATCAGGATGAATTGTGATTGAATCATGTCTTGGGCAACACAGTTCTTAGACTAAAAGTCTAGAGTTCCCGAATCTAACTACTCATGAAAATGAACTGCTTCAATCATGATAGGATAAGCTTTTAAGTGACCAATGGGAGTTAATACCCAGTCTTTAGGATCCCCTCTAAAACAGAAAGCGTCATCTCTATTAGTTTTCTCTCCTTCTGTCCCCTAAGTCTCAGTAAGGGATGGCCTAAGAGGACAGGAAGTGCATGGTAGACTTGGGAAGACCCTGTACCTGGAATACCCATGCCATATATAAAGATCCAAACAGTCCTGGGGAAGGTGGGCAATATCAGTCTGGCTTTCTCTGTAGCCAGATTTGCTTCTTTTCATCTTCATAGGCTGAATCTACCGTTTAAAGCATTGATTCTCATTGGGAAATGGGAGGTAATACTAGCATCTAGTTGGTAGAGGCCAGGGATGTTGCTAAACATCCTGCAATGCACAGGGAAATTTCCCTGCACTCCCTTCTCCCCCAAAGAAAGAATTATCAGCCCAAAATATCAGTAGTGCCAAGCTTGAGAAACCTTGACTTGTGGACATAAATGCCCCAGGACAGAGGGTGGTTGTGGTTCTAGAACAGAAGATAGAGTAGTATTGTTGATACTTGTGTCCAAATTTTAGGAAGCTTTGGATAAACAGGCCTTCTGGATAGATGGACTTTCTATTACTCTGTGGAGCAGCCAGGTAACCAGCTTCCTTTGACAGTTGTTAGGGGGCATCTGATTATACAGGCAACATTTACTGCAGCCTATTCTGCACCAAATGCTGTAGTGAATACAGAGCAGAAAGAAGGCAGCTCTCTGCTCTCAAAGAGCTCAGTGTTTAAATAATCAGAATATGCATGCATGCATACATACATACATACATACATACATACATATAACAATATAAGATGTTGATGGGATATAAGAAATAAAGAACTGGAAAGTATTTTTAGAAGGGATTCTTTTAAGTAAAAGGGAATTAATATATAGAAAAGGCATTTCACATTGTATATGTGGGAGGAGTGGTGTGAACAAAAGCAGAGATCTCAGAATGTGCAAGAACATGACTGGAGTAAAGGTACCGTGTTAAGAAAAAGAGTGATGTTTTGGAGTGGTGGCTCTAGAAGTAGAGCTGTCACAATGAGGATACATTCGCAGTATTAGGGAGCCATTGTAGAGTGTGTGTGTGTCTGTGCATGCATGCGCATACGTTGAAGTTGAAGGATTATAGTGGGATGAGGCAAAAGTATGGCAGCATCCAGGAGACTATTTTACTTGCCCAGGTTGGAGGTCAGGTACTTTATTCTGATGTATATTAAGAGTTTTTTTTTTAAAATGAAATTAAAAGCAAAACTGGGTTACTTCTTTCCCTTGTGTGTATGCTCTTGGAGGGGTGAAGAGTTGGGAGGAGCAGCCTGAGGTGGTCTTCTGGGGAGGACAATGGTTTATTGAAGATGCTCAATCTTTGGGTTTCTTTTCTCTTCTCAGGAACTTCAAGGAGTCCCCAGCAGTTTCTGGCTATGTGTGACAGGGGTGAAACTTCCCAAGGGGTCAAGTACACAGGAACAACTTGGAACTATCGGAGTCTCCCCCATTGTTCCAGAACAGATGCCTCTTGGGGACCACGGACAGAGGCCAACCAGCATATTGGGGCTAGATTCCTGACTACTCCAGGGTGCAAGACTCAGCTAACCCACTCTGCCACACTACCAGAAAGACACCAGGGCCCTCGCGTTCCTCATGATCAGTCCTGGGGGGATCATTTCCATTCACCCTCCCATCCTCCCATTGTTCACCCTGTGAACCTACCATCAAACGGTTTTCTTGTACCCCTGAGGTCAGCTTGGAATTCAGGTTCTGTTCCAGGGTCTCGAGCCCCTGGTCCTCGGAGAGTAGATATGCCCCCAGATGATGACTGGAGGCAAAGCAGTTATGCCCCACAATCTGGACACAGGAGGACAGGGGCACAAGAGTTCCTGTTTGTTCTAGCTGATGCCCCTGGAAGAAGGCAGATCAGGGCTAGGGCCCTGCAGCACAGTAGGTGGTAAGGGTCACCCCTTTCCTTTCCTGGAGCCACAGCTTTCTCTGTGAAACTATTCTGTGGCAGAGTTCACACCCTACATCCCTGCCAGGGTAGTGCTAGTCTCATCTCATCATAGAGTTGGCAGTTTTTCCTAGGGATGCCAGGAACCTCTAATCTGATGTGGCTCTTTCAGAAGGAATATTGGAAATTCCAATTTCCATTCACCTAGCAAAGGGAAGCAGCTGCTATTTAGGCCTTTATTTCAGCCACTTTAAAGATGAATTCATATTACTCTGGACACTAGCCATTCCTTAGATCACCATTTTATTCCTGGATACTTTATGTCCGTACCTGTACTTGAGTCCTCATCCTCTGTTCCTCTACTGTATTACCAGCTTCTATTCTTTGTTTTATCCACCTATCCCTATTACCTGACTGTCTGTCTTCCCCATGCCCCATTTTTGGAGGGACATGTAGCCCTATGGTCATTGTCCTGATCACAGGGCAGTCCTCCTACCCAGGTATTATAGACTGTCTGCCTTCCCTGTGCCCCCAAAACTTAGGCCTAGAATGTGGAGCTTCCAACATAACATTTGCCCTCTGAACAAATGGAGTCAGGCACACTAATACTCCCTTCTGTCTCAGCAGCAGAGTCATTACTGCCACTTGCTCAGTCGCTGTTGTAAACCCTCAGAGTCAGCTGAACTATTTTAGGGCCAAACATACTGTTTTTGTAAAGTATTTTTCATTAATAAATCTATAAGATAGTTCTATTTAATTCCTTGTCATTTAATTGTCTTTTAGAGCCCTTTTGGGCTGGGAGAAGATGGTGGCCGAGTAAGTGGAAGCTGAGTCCACTTGCTCTTGCCGCCAACTCAGATTCGCGGCTGATCATCCAACAAATAACCTGAACAATCAACAGAACCTTATCTGGTATGAAGTTTAGAAGCCAAGGAGTATAGAATATGCTTCACAACGGGCAGTAGGAGGCTTTATAGGCTGAAGCGGAAATACCATGTGTGGTGCCTGCAGCAGCAGAGAGGCTAGTCAGGAATGGCAGCTTTGTGACTCCCTCCGCTCCCAGGGTAGGGGGCCCAGTCCTGCAAAGCAAACCCCCCCCAAACTCTAGCTGGGAGGGACTTGGGACGATATAGAGTCATGGAGATCCAGGCAACACCCCCCCCCCCCCCCCCCCCCAGCACGTCCATAGCTGCAGCGCCAAACGTCAACCAGGAGAATGACATAGAGAAAGAGGGACCATCTCCTGAAATGATCAGGGTCGCACCTGGGTCAGGCAGAGGCCGATTGTGGCCAGCCATGACCGTTAGAGACTTTTGGTGTTTTGAAGAGGTGGTATGTGTGAAGAACTGGACAGTGACGTGGTACTGAAGTGGGGGTGCCACAGAGAGGCTTTTTAAAAGGGAAGCTGAAGCGTGCTGGGCAGGGACCCCATGCACAGCTGCCCTGCCAGCAAAGCGACAGTATGAAAGCGCAGTTTACTCCCACTGAATACAGCTGGGCAGGGAGATCAGAAAGTTGCACAGCAAAAGGATTTCTGGGTCCCAGCCCAGTGCAGCCAGTAAGTCAGGGGCTGTGTAAAACAGAGTTTGGGATTGTGTCTACTGTGAGGGCAGTGGTCTGGGAATAAGACAGGCAAGAGTTGAGCACCTGAGATTTCTAACAGCCAGGCAGAACCCCCTTCCCCGGCAGAGTTCAAACCTCTGGGACTGGAAGGATGTACCCAGCCCCCACCTCCTGCAGGATTTTAAGCACTATATCCAGTGGGGAAGTTCTACAGAACTGGCTAGGCTCAAGAACCCCTGCAGGGTGCATATCCACAGGAGAAAGACAGGAAGAGAAACTCCAAAAGGGCTCGTTTTGAACTTCTCTCAGGAAGACAAAATACACTGGTTCCTAAGGCCCTATTCCACTGATGCCAGCGAGGCACAGAGGTCAGAAATCGGTGCAGCAAGGGATAATCAGGGTTTCACCCAGCCTTGGTTCTCACATAGAGCTGCCATCAGCACCAAGCAAGAAAGAGCTGACCCTCTTACACACATTGGCCCCCTTGAAACAGACAGCTAGTTCATTGGAAACTATACATTATTGGAAATAAGCTGCGACAGACCAAGACGGGTGGTACAGGGGTGGGGTAACACACACACAATTTTCCCAGAAGACTGAACAGTGCCTCCTAGGGGAGACTCAGGGGTTCCACCCCCCAGAACACAATAAAACTCCCCTGTAGAGGCAGATGAAGGCGGTATATGCGGTGCTGCCAGAAGTTGGAAGACCCACCTCTGGACCTTGAGCTGACAAAAAGCCAGAGGTGGATCCAGAAGAAGACAAAAGGCAAACACCAAACTCTGCTGAGACAAGTTCCACCTTCTTCTTCAGTATTTGCATTATTTTTTTTCTCGCATATTCTTTTAACATTTTTTTCTTTTCACTTCTATACCAATTAATTCACTATTTTTGTCTTTTATTCTTTTTACTTTTATTTAAAATCTCACATCATACCCTTCCCTTGTCTTACTCCATTTTGTGTACTTCCTTCCTATTCTTATTTTCATTTTAAATTTTATTTTCCCTCTTTCTATGCCTTGTTCCTATTTCTCACTCCTACTATTTCCCCTTCCTCTATCCTCTCAAAATCACTTTTCTTTCCTTTAGTCAGCTCACATTCTTTTTCCCTTTCTTATAATATTCTTATTTTCTTTCCACCTTTATTAATTATTGCTTCTTTAATGTGGATATTCCAGTTATTGCTGTTTTTCTCCAATTTTATTCCTATTTGTTCATTATTTTTTAAATTTCAGATCTCATAGGTTAATTTCCCCCTGGCTTACTCCATTTTGCTTTCCTCCTGTCCTTGCTTATTTGAGTTTGAATTTTTATATTTTCCCTTCCTTAGCCTGGATTCTATTCCTTACTCTTATTATTTCTACTCTCTCTCTATCCTCCCCTCAAAATCTCTCTTTTTTTTCTGTATACATCTCATATTCTCTTTTCTTTCTTATAATATTTTTCTCTTTCCACCTTTATTAATCTTTGCTCACCTGTGATTGTTATTGATGCTGTTGAGGTTTTTCTTCAATATTGTTCCTACTGATTCACTGTTTTAAAAAAATTTTATTTCAAACCTCATATACTACTTTTCCTTTTTCTTACTCCATTTTGCCATCTCTCCTTTATTACTTAGGTTATATATTTTATTTTCTCCCTTTCTTCACCTTGTTTTTATTCCCTACTCATTATTTCTCCTCCCTCCTCTCTCAAAATCATTTCTTTCCTTTATTCATCTCATATTCTTTTTTACTATCTTATAATATTCTTAATTTCTTTCGACCTTTATTAATCTTTCCTCATTTGTGGTTGATATTGCTGATGTGGTAGCGGGGTATTTTTGCTGGCATGGGCTTGGTTTTCTGGGTAGTTTTGCTTTGTTCTGCTAGCACCTGTAAATCAGCATACAAGATATGGTGGGGGTGCAGATTTTCAATCAGCCAGCCAGAGAGGAGAACCCATCAATGAAAGAGCCATCAGTAATCAAAGCCCAAGTACAACAAGAGAGCCCACATAATCTGAATAAAGGGAATATCAGAGCACCCAGCTCAGGAGATCAAAGAGACTCTCAGAATCTCATTCTGAGTCCCACAGAATCCTACCACAGAAGGCCACTCAGGAAGACAGGGAGTCAAAGCAGAGAGCAATGTGATATGCAGAAACAAAAAGAGTCACCTAAAATGGGGAGACAAAGAGTAGTTACAGCCTAGCCACAGGGATGTAAATTAAAGTACAGTATAGGAAATGGAGCAGCCAAAGAACCCACACATGACCCATGGACATGAACAATGGTGTGGGGATTTCCTGAGGGAGCTGGCTGTGCTAGGTGGAGGTGGGGTAAAGGGGGAAAGTTGGGACAACTGTAAGAGCATAAACAATAAAATATAATTAAAAAAATAAAATGGGGAGACAACCCCCAATCGAAAGGAATGGAGGAATCCCAAGAAAAAGAGCTAAATGAAATTGAGGCGAGCAATCTATCAGACATAGAGTTCAAAATAATTCTATGAGGATACTCAATGAACTCAGTGAGAACTATAAGGAATTCAATGGGAGCTACAAGGAACTTAATGGGAATTATATATATTAGCATGATAAATGACACAGAAACTATGAGTAAGAACCAGAAGGAAATAAAGACTACAATATCTGAAATGAAGAATACACTAGAAGAAATTAAAAGCAGGCTGGGTGAAGTAGAGGGCCGAATCAATGAGCTGTAAGACAAGGTAGATAAAAACACCCAGTCAGAGCAACAAAATGAAAAAATACTCGAAAAGAATGAGGGTAGTTGAAGGGAGCTTCAGGACAACATCAAATGTAACAACATTTGCATCATAGGAATACCAGAAAGAGCTGAAAAGGAGCAAGCTATAGGAAACCTGTTTGAAAAAGTAATGACAGAAAACGTCCCTAACTTGGTGAGGGAAAATGTCACACAAGTTCAGGAAACACAGCGGGTCCCAATCAAAATCAACCCAAAGAGGCCCACTCCAAGACAAATCATAATTAAAATGGCAAAATTTAAAGACAAAGAGGGAATCTTAAAGGCAGCAAGGGAAAAATAGGTAGTAACATACACTGGTGCTCCAATAAGGCTATAAGCTGATTTCTCAACAGAAACACTACAAGCCAAAAGGGAATGGCATGAAATATTCCAAGTAATGGAAAACAGACACCTACAACCAAGACTACTCTATCCAGCAAGGCTCTTATTTAAAATGGAAGGTGAAATAAGAGTTTCCCAGACCAAAAAAGGCTAAAAGAATACATCTCCACCAAACCAGCATTGCAAGAGATTATAAAGGAGAAGAAGAAGAAATAGAGAGGAAGAGGATCAACGGTGCAATGGGAAAAAATGGCGATGGATAAGTACCTATCAATAATAACCTTAAATGGCCCAGGCTGGTGTGGCTCAGTGGACTGAGCACCAACCTGTGAACCAAAGGGTCACTGGTTCGGTTCCCAGTCAGAGCACATGCTTGGGTTGCAGGCCAGGTCCCCAGCGGGGGCGTGTGAGAGGCAACCACACACTGATGTTTCTCTTCCTCTCTTTCTCCCTCCCTTCTCCTCTCTAGAAATAAATCTTTAAAAAATAATAATAACAACCTTAAATGTAAATGGATTAAATGCTCCAATCAAAATGCACAGGGTAGCTGAGTGGACAGGAAAACACAATCTGCATATATGCTGTCTACAAGAGACAGACCTAAGAACAAACGATCTACACAGGCTGAATGTGAAAAGTTGGAAAAAATATTCCAAGCAAATGGACATGAAAAAAAAGCTGGGGTAGCAGTACTTATATCAGACAAAAGAGATGTCAGAACAAAGAGACAAAGGCAGTCACTACATAATACTGAAGGGAGTTGTCCAACAAGAGGATGTAACCCTTGTAAACATATATGCACTCAATATAGGAGCACCTAAATATATAAGGAAAATCTTAGAGGACTTTAAGAAGGAGATTGACAGCAGTACAGTTATTGCAGGGGATTTTAACACCCATGTCAACAGTGGGTAGATCTTCCAAAGAAGAAAGATATTGTGGCATTGAATGACACTCTAGATCAAATGGACTTAATTGATATTTACAGAACATTTCACCCTAAGGAAGCAAAGTACACATTCTTTTCAAATGCACATGGATCATTTTCAAAGATAGAACATAGTAGGACACAAAACAGGCCACAACAAATTCCACAAAATTGAAATCATATCAAGGATCTCTTTGGATCACAATGGCTTGAAACTAGAAACCAACCTCAAGGGAAAAAACTCAGAAACATTCAAATACATGGAGACCAAATAACATG